ACTTGCCCCCAATTGCATGCTCGTCGATTCCGGCGATCCTGGTCACCACGGAGAATGGAGTATCGATGTTTGCGTTCAGGGAATTCTTAAGCGCGTACCGAGCAATCTTCCTCGCCAACTTCATCGGATTCTTGTCGGAACCCGATCCGTTAACCAAATCTTCCAGTTCGGATTCATGAACGTTGTCGAACAATCCATCCGTCGCCATTACTATGATGTCTCCCGGTTTCACCTTCACCTCCAATTTCTCGGCCGCGGTCGGGTCGCCGCGCGATTTCCCCAGCTGAACAGGACAGTTGAACCGCGACTGCTGAGGCGGGGAGGTGTAGACGATTTTCCCGCCGCGTAGGACTGCGAAGCCGCTGTCGCCGACGTTGACGGCTTTCACGCAATCGTCAACTAACGTCAAGATACACGCCGTGGAAGAGCCTTGTGCTTTGGTGTCCACGTAAGCTTCGTCCAGGGCTGTCATGGGGTCCACGCAGCGGACTGTATCTCTCTGGTGACGGACGGACAAGACGGCGTTAGCCATCAGCTCTCTGGAGTACTCTCCGGCGTCGATGCCCCTCTTTGCCCAGCCGCCGACGCCGTCCGCCACGCCGATCGTCTGCGCCTCCGAACAGACAAAGTGCGAGTCTTCTCCGAGAGGCTTCGCCGGATTGTGTTTGGGTATGTAGAACGCTCCGGCGACCATTCTGGTTGTTCTCCGCCGTGCCAAGCCGCTGTCAACTAGGGTTTGGAGATAAGCCCTAGTACTGGCTTTTGATGGATTGATCAAACGCTTTCTTTTCATCGTGACCGCCATGAATGAAATTTGGAAACTGTGAAATCCAAGAAAAACAATAGTACGTACTGCGTGAGAAGTCGGCTAGAGTATGAGATTCACGCTTTTAAGTAAGTATATCACCGCGGACTTAGTCCTAATAGGATTGGGATTAACGCATACTATTTAAGCAATCACTAATTAAATGCATATTGGATGCAATAATTTATATTGTATAAATAATAACTAATTATATTTTAACGCATTAACCTTTTAATTGTTGTTGGGATCACTTTTATATTAAGGCTCTATTTGACAGAACTTATTTAAGAGTTTATGCCTTATTTTAACTTATTAATAAGTTATAAGCTCGTTTTGGTAATGTCCCAAAATAAATTAGTATTTTAAAATAAAAACTTATTTTGAAAAGCTATCTTAAATAGCGTTTTAAAAATAAATTTGAAGCTTCCTATCTTTTTTCTATCCTTATCTATGTTATTTTAAATAAATTTGACATCTTTTATCAATTAAAACCTTTTTGGCTTTTTCTTTTTTCCTATATCTTTACCCTTTTGGCCTGTTCTTTTCTCCTATATTTTTATTCATCCTCTTCCACAACTCTCTAACTCTAATTATTCATAAATAAATGACATCATTTATCCTTACCAATTAAAAAAAAATTCTTTTGTTTTAATTTAATATATATCTCATATATATTATAAAACAATTTTTTTTTATAAATTAAATATATCTCATATATTATAATATAAAAACAATGTAATAATCACAGCATTTAATTTTTATGAAAATGTCATTTTTAGTCTTTTTACCGTTATTAGCTTATCAAAAAGTTAATTTTACCAAACACTTTTAAGCATAATCAGCTAGTTAACAACTCTTTAGTTTTCAACTTTTAGCTACGTCTTCAGCTAAGTTTGTCAAACATAACCTAAATAAATTGACTCATTTTACAAGTCAACTTTTAACTTATACTTAATATCTACTCCGTATGTACTTCACTGCAACACTCAACCTTCTTAAAAAATGGGTCATATATATTATCAATAAGGTTACAAGTTCGACTACTAGTGAAAATTAAGCTCACAAGACAGAGGCACGCCATACCGTGGAATAGTAACTGCGGAAATAGATCGATAATACTATTCTATGATCATATATATTTGCAATTCATTCACTATTTTTTTACGGTCATATAATTTCAATTCAATTTCAAATAATAATAATAGCATTTAAAATAATATAATTCACTTTCTAATAATAATAATAATAATATAATTTCAATTCACTTTCAAATAATAATAATAATTATAGCATTTAAAATAATTTTGGACCCACTCATCACCTTGTCTTTTGTATGGCATTGTTGTTGTTGTGTAACAAAAATACATTTGAATGGCTTGCAAATACTGTAACCCTTTGAAGTGGCGATGTCACATATGATCGCAATTCCATCCCTCCCTTTCAAAGACGTGGGTAGCCTTATAAGTTAAAAAATAGTTAAAATATAATGATGAAACTAGATTTTCTAATTACAATAATAATTCGTAAACTGGATTAATGCAAGATCATGGGACAATGCACGTCGTCCCTATTTATAGGAGAAAAACTTATGTCTATTAACTTAGTCCTATCATTACTCCAACTAGAACTCCACATTATATTAACCTAGGACATAACCTAAGACCGGCCTATTCCCACACAAATGGGGAGTGGGGACTACCATATTGATCGCAGACCACCATCCAAAAACGACGTCGTTTTGTTTAATTTAATTTTTTTGCACGCTCAGCTGCAACATACATTTTTATAACTCATAATGTACATTATTCTAAAATATAATGTACATTATTCTAAAGCATAATGTACATTATATCACCCCAGATGTTTCATTATTAAATTGGACTATATATTTTACGTCTTTGTCATTGGTCAAATTCCAAGTGTCAAGTCCTTATCCCTAATCCTTAACCGGAGCTAAGTGTCACAAATCATGTTTCTTGACCTTTAACCAAGAATTAAGTATCATGTTTTCTTTATCGATCTTTAACTAAACACTAGATCACAAGTCTCGAGTCTTTTGTACTTGTCCGCATCATTCTCAAAGCTTGGAGAAGAAGATACGCATAGAATTTTGAAATTGTCCAATCCACTGTCCTTAGAAGGTGCCTTCGTTAGGATTTTGGCAAACGTTAACTATATTTATATTTAATATAACATTTGTAATTAATAATAGTGTGCCATAACTTGTGTTAATTGTGCCGTATTTTTTTGAACGAAATATGTACATTATTATTACTGAAATACACGTTTTCTCTTCAGTTGATTTTTACTGCATCTTTACCTACACATTTAATCTTCATAATAACTCAAGATTTATAAGAGGCTGATTTAGTGGCCAAACACAAATCAAATTAATAATGCATATTAAATCAAATTAAACTCTAAACCTAGATGACCCTAAACATAAACATAACAAACCCTAACGTTTGAATTGATCGATGAAACATTCTATTCAATTGTGTACTTTTCAAAAATTAGATTCAATACAGATAATGATATTTCTTGATATCTGGATGATGAATTGATGATCAATCATCATTATGTTTATTGAATATAAGCAACTACCACTGTTATATCATCGTACTTGCCGCCGATGGCATCCTCGTTGATTCCGGCGATCTTGGTTGCCGCCGAGAATGGAGTATCGATGTTTTCGTTCTCAGAATTGTTAAACGCGTACCGTGATGGTTGTACTTAATGTGCGTAAGTTTTGTGCTTAAGGTGCGTGAGTTTGTGTTCTGAGTATATTTTGTTTGTGTGTTTAATGTGCGTCTGTTGTGTATTTGAAGTGTGTCAGTGTATATATATATATATAGATTTTGGTTCCTGTGAGGACAGGTCTTCCCGTGCGGTCAGTGCGGCATACACCATTAGGTATGTATAAATGCACCATACAGTGTTTGAAAATACACTAGAATGAAATGTCAAAAAATACACCACACAAAAAAAAAAAAAAAATACACCACACATAATGGTGTATTTACGAACACTGTGTGGTGCATTTATGCATACCTAATGGTGTATGCCGCACTGACCGCACGGGAAGACCTGACCTCACAGGAACCTGACCATATATATATATATATATATATATATATATATATATATATATATATATATATATATATATATATATATATATATATATATATATATATATATATATATATATATATATATATATATATATATATATAAAAGGTATAATACTATCAGAACAAAATAAATTATCACTCATATTTTTTTGTACAAGGGATCTTTCTACTTTGGCCATAATTCAACACTCCAATTCAATATAATAATTCTCGTATATATAGTCAGCTCTCTTGTAAGATAGCTCCTAGACTCTACCTTCACGTGCCTTTATCATATTGCTATATATTTTACTAGTATTTGCTCCCGTGCGATGCACGGCCATTGATGATAATAATATAATGAAACAATGAAACAATATAACATAATAATAAGAAATTTAAAAAATTGTATTGAATAAATCATTTAATAATTAACATTGAAATTGTATTACATAGTATCGAAAACTTCTTTGTATGCGACATTTTTAATATTATTCAGAAATTGTAATTCTAATATATGAGTCCGTGAGAATAGGTTTAAGCTATTAAATACTTGAGATCAAATGGTTTAGAATTTGTCAAATGTACAATTTTGCGAATATATATATATATATATATATATATATATATATATATAAATTTTGAGCCCATCCCAAATGTAATATTACGTCAACTGTTAGCCCATTCATTCTGCCTAGTCCAAAAGAAATAAATTATGTTTAGCCCAATACCTCAATAAAAAACAAAATGCCCAAATTCCCTAACCCTATTCAGATCTACATCTCTGTTTTTCGCCTTCTCCACTCCACACTTTGAAATCTCTCCACTGTCCTCTGCGTCTCGCTAACTCCGCCTTCCGGCCTCCACACACTCCGGTCAAGCGGTCTTGCCCTTACACCATCTGGCCCTACCCTCGCTTCTTAGTCCTCTCGATTTCTGCTTCCCCGTCCTCTGACGCCAACGCCCTTGTTCCTCTCCCCGTCTCCCTGGCGGACGACTTCTCTCCTAATTGCAGCCACGCCGAATGCCTGGTCGACCTTCAGCTAGTCAGGTAACTGATGATATGTGGATCGGATGATTGTTTATTGAATATAAGCAACCACCACTGTTATATCATCGTACTTGCCGCCGATTGCATGCTCGTCGATTCCGGCGATCTTGGTCGCCGCCGAGAATGGAGTATCGATGTTTCTGTTCAGGGAATTCTTAAGCGCGTACCGAGCAATCTTCCTCGCCAACTTCATCGGCTTCTCGTCGGAGCCCGATCTGTTAACCAAATCTTCTAGTTCGGATTCATGAACGTTGTCGAACAATCCATCCATCGCCATTACGATGATGTCTCCCGGTTTCACCTTCACCTCGAATTTCTCGGCCGCGGCGCACGATTTCCCCAGCTGAACCGGACAGTTGAACCGCGACTGCTGAGGCGGGGAGGTGTAGACGATTTTCCCGCCGCGTAGGACTGCGAAGCCGCTGTCGCCGATCACGCAGTCGTCAACTAACGTCAAGATACACGCCGTGGAAGAGCCTTGTGCTTTGGTGTCCACGTAGGCTTCATCGAGGGCTGTCATGGGGTCCACGGTGCCGACTGTGTCTCTCTGATGACGGACGGATAAGACGGCGTTAGACATCAGCTCTCTGGAGTACTCTCCGGCGTCGATGCCCCTCTTTGCCCAGCCGCCGACGCTGTCCGCCACGCCGATCGTCTGCGCCTCCGAACAGAACAGACAAAGTGCGCGTCTTCTCCGAGAGGCTTCGCCCGGTTGTGTTTGGGTAGGCCACCATTCTAGTTGTGCTCCGCCATGCCAAGCCACTGTCCACTAGGCTTTGGAGATAAACCCTAGTACTGGCTTAATGGATAGATCAAACGCTTTCTTTTCATTGTCACTGTCATGATTGGAATTTGAAAAGTGAGAAATCCAAGAAACTAGAATAGGAAACAATAGTACTGCGCTAGAGTATGGGATTCCCGCTTTTAAGTAAGTATATTACCCACCAGACTATGTGGTCTAATGGTACCCGGGTTGGACTTCTATCTGGAAGGTTGTAAGTTCGAGCCTCAGTGGAGGCGTTATTGGCTCTTTGTGTTTCAGTAGTACTTGAGAAAGTATATGAACAGATACTACAATGTAATAGAGCTAGTAGCATTCAAAAAAAAAAGTAAGTATATTACCCCGGCTTAGTCCTAATAGGATTGGGATTAACGCATACTATTTAACCTTTTAAGTGTTGTTTGGATCACTTGTATATGTGGACTATAGGAAAATGGTTTGGGCCGCCACTTTTTATTGGGCCCTTGAGTATATATATAGTAGTTGGGCATTTGTTAGTAGGCAAATTATTGTCTGGAGTGTGGACCATGGTCTACACAGTGTTGCGCGGACCATAACAAAAAGTATATTTTTAATATATTAAATGTATATTATTTGTGTATTGAATTTACATTATACAATATAATGTACACTCAGTACACAAATAATGTACATCCCCTTACTATAATGTACATTTTTAATATATTAAAAGTACATTATTTTTATACTGAATGCACATTATTTTACAATATATATACAAAATATCGTCCACACAATAATGATTATTGTTACTATGCCCCAATGCAACAAGTTATGATTAATGCTAAATACATATATCAAAAAATATCAAAAATATAATTTATATGGTCAAACCCGTCGCACAAAGTCTTCTTAGTACGGGTTATTCTTTATGTGCAATTTGAGGGATATTACTCATGAATAGAGTTTATCCCGTGTATATTTTCAAATAGTGATTATAAATTTCTCTCGTCATCGTATATACATACAAGCACGTATATAGAGGTGAGTTCGAATGAGAAACCCTGTATAAAATAAAGAAGGATTGCAACTGTTATTTAAAAATGCGCTATAAGTAAAGCCCGTCTTATAACTTTAGAATGAGAAATTATAATGAACTTTGACTATTGTTTACACGTTGATGACTTTGGTTAGCTAGTAATCTTATTTTATACCACACATTTCAATTTCATTCTCGCAGCCAAAATGGAACCAAAATAATAATGTACCTTTGTAACGACAAAATCTACCACGTCATATAATATATATGCCCAAAACTTCCTTTATGCAGAACCAATCAACAAAAGGATAAAAATAAAATGTATATAGCCATCTAAATCATCACCCAAAGCATTACGTACTCCTACCTTTTCCAAATCCATTTAACATATTTCAATATTTTTTTTAGTCTTACTAGTACATCATACAAATTAGCATTATCCACGTGCACTCAATAGAAATGAGATTCGAGTTTAGGTTTTGGTTAAAATTTTAAATCTTACTGAATTTGAGTTAAATTTTATCTATAATACCCGAACTTATTGTGGACCATAGTTCACACAGCACTACATAATAAAAAGTACATTTTTAATATATTAAATATACCTTTTCAAAAAAAATATATTAAATATACATTATTTGTGTATTGAATGTACATTATATGAAATAATGTATTTTCAGTACTCAAATAAAATATTTTTACTGAATACAATGTACATTATTAATATACTTAAAGTACATTATTTTTATATTAAGTGTACATTATTTTATAACATACAAAATATGATTCACGCAATAATAATATTCTTATAGGTGGGTGTAATTGCCATTGAGAAATACTTGCAGAGAGAATTGTTCATAATAATGTCATTTTCATGGGTGGGTCAACTACATAAATTTGTTTTTGTTGTTTAATGTAAGTGCCGTGATGGTTGATCACTTGTTGAATGATGCAGTCCACACATGCAGCTTTTCATCAATTATATTCCTCCGAATAGTACCATGAAAGATACTTATTCTATGCCATATCTGCGTGGGTAGAGTATGATTCTTCTATAAGAAAGTTAAGTTCAATTATTGTCACATTTTTAGAGACCGTTGCATAGGCCGGGTCGTATATATATATTGCACGCACATGGACTAAATTGGACGATATATTTTACGTCCTTATCATTGGTCAAATTTCAAGTGTCAAGTCTTTATCTCTAACCTTTAACCGGAGCTAAGTGTCGCAAGTCATATTTCTCGACCTTTAATTTAACAAAGAATTAAGTATTAAGTTTTCTTTATCGATCCTTAACTAGATACTAGATCACAAGTCCCGAGTCCTTTGAACTTGTCCGCATCCATTCCCAAAGCTTGGAGATGAAGATACGCATAGGATTTTGAAATTGTCCAATGCACTGTCCTTTGAAATTGTCCTCAGAATTGAAGCATGTGCTCATCTCAATTAAAAAAAGTCTAAGCTGATAATTGGATGCTTATCAGGTGACGTAGTGATTCGAACCATGATGATTTTTAGTCTGATTTTGATACCAAATTGAAGCATGTGCTCCATCTCAATTAAAAGTCTAAGCTGATAGTTGGATTGCACATTACACATTAATAGTTATATGCTCAACACTCAGGAGGTGCCTTCGTTAGGACTTTGGCAAACATTAACTATATTTAATATGACATTTGTAATTAATAATAGTGTGCCATAACTTGTGTTAATTGTGTCGTATTTTATAAAAGAATGGAATATGTACATTATTATTATTGAAATACATGTTTTCTCTTCAGTTGATTTTTACCTACACATTTAATCTTCATAATAACTCAAGATTTATAAGAGTTTGACCCAATAAAACAAACAATGCTAAATGTTAGTGGCCAAACATAAATCAAATTAATAATGCATATTAATGGAAACAATAGAGAATGAGCGTAATGGTTTTGTCTTTTGTGTTGCAATATGGAAAGAGGAAAGACAAATTAATATTTTTTGTAGTTTGTACTTTTCTAGAGTGCACTAAAAATTGCTTGAGGATAATGTAAGATTATATTAAACAACTAATGAATCATATTCCCTCTCAAAAAAAAAAAAAAAAAAAAACTAATGAATCATATTTAGATTCAACCATTAAAAATTGATACATTTCTCCCTCAATGATATATATAACTTATTTTTCCCTTCAATCATTAGATGGTTAGTTGAGTATACATAGAGAAATATAAAAGAGAAATAGCCAAGCAGGCAAAATGAACTACTCGATCGAGTTGAGTACTTGGCGTTCAACTCAGTAGAGTTGGACACCGATTCAGTCGAGCTAGGCATCCGACTTGATCGAATCAATGCCTAATCGGTCAATTTATCTGTCAACCGACTAAAATTTGTTTAAGACTGAAATCGCATCGGTCTAGGGGCATCTAACACCTAGGCGACCGCCAAGTCAATTTTGAGAACATTGAAAAATAGTCACTTGAAGACTATTGACGGAAGAAAAAATGAATGCATTAATAATATTTTGGGAAAATATGTTAAATTACTATAATTGATAGGAGAAAAATGTCATTTATCTTTAAAAAAATAATTATTTAAAAAAAAAACACTCCCTAATGATTTATTGCCACCTCACCAAAGTTTTCTTAAAAGGACACCTCAACTACTCCTTCTTCTCCACTCTCTCTCTCTCTCTCTCTCTCTCTCTCTCTCTCTCTCTCCTCCACAGTTCCACAGAAGGATTGTTCTTAAGCTTTGGATATGGTTTCTGGCAGGAGGTTAACTTCACCAATTGATAGCTATGGAGATTGTCCAGAAAGAGTCTGCACCAGCAGCTGTCTTCAATGGTGCATCAACATCCTTCCTCCTCCGTCGCCGGATGATATTCCCGGCGATGATTCCGGCCCCAATTTCTCCCCTCTCATCATCACCATCATCGTCATTCTGGCAACTACTCTCCTCGCAGTCACCTTCTACACCATCTTCACGAAGTACTGCAGGAGAAGACGAAGAACCGCGAGCAGCGCGGACGACGTGGAAGCGAATCGCGACGAGGCGCCGCGAGATCAGCGGCGCGTGGCTTCTCCGGCGGTGGCGGTTAAGAACTTTAAGGTTTTTAAGTACAGGAAAGGCGGCGTTGGAGCTGTGGAAGGCAGTGAATGTTCTGTTTGCTTGGGAGAGTTTCAGGAAGGTGAGAGCCTTAGGTTGTTGCCTAATTGCAGCCATGCTTTTCACCTCCATTGCATCGACACGTGGCTGAAATCTCAGCCCAGTTGCCCTATTTGTCGCGCAAATGTAGCGCTTGATCCCAGTCCAGTGCCGCCGCCGCCGCCGGCGGTGGCGCGGCGTCCTCCAGCTCCCACCGCTCGGAACAACACAGATTGAATCAAACCAGTTCTGAAGTTCAGAGACAAAACGACTAGGTACTGGTGGTTGATTATCGTGAATAGATCATTGCAAAGAGATCACCTTTGATGATTATGATGAATTGCAGCTAGCAGAAGAGAAACAAGAATTTTCACAGGTCTGGACATGGTAAAAAAAAAAAGAGGCAAGAACTATGCAATTGAAGCTCCATGTTTGTGTTTTCTAGTCTAGTTTAATTTGCTAACTGTAATCCAAAAATATTCCACTTTTTTGTAACAATCTTGATCTGAAACACAGTTCTGTTTGGGGGAGAATTTGTTTAATTGCCCACAAAAGTGGCAAATTATGCCGGGGAATCGTTATGAATATATAATTTAAAAATTATGAACATATAGTTCTATAATTATGAACATATAGTTCTGTAAGTATGAACATATAGTTCTGTAAGTATGAATATAGAGATTCAATAATTGTGATTTGTGAATATGAAGTTCAAAAATTATGAATATATAACTTTATAATTATGAACATAGAATTCTGTAATTGTGAATATAGAGTTCAATAATTATGAATATCAAGTTAAAAAATTATGAATATATAACTTTATAATTATGAACATATAGTTTAGTAATTATGAACATAGAACCGTGTCCACCTTGGAACACGGTTCCACAGCATAACGATTGCCACATTGCGGTGCAGTACTTGATTCTGTGTCTTGCCCATAATCTATTACCCAGAACCAACTGAGCAACACAGTTCAGTTTGGGGAAAAAATTGTTTTTTTTTTTTTTTTTGATCATGGGGAAAAAATTGTTTAACTAATCATATGAAAAGAGAATCTGTTTAACATAAGACAGTGAAGCAGGACAGAGTTTCCTTATTATTGCAGTGTGTGTGTGTGTGTGTGTGCTGTGGTGGAGTAGGTTTATTTGCAATTGTCTTCTTTCAATGTTGACATCTGTTTGTGAGCTGTCAGATCTTAGTAGAGAACAAATATAAGGAAAAAAAAATTACTAAAAATGGAGCAGTTAATAACCTTCCTTTTATTCAGTCAACACAGCCAACTTCCTGTTACTATATATATATAGAAGAAGGAGACCAGAGAAAAGATCAATTCAGAATTGAGTTTTGATCACCATCAATGGCTGCAGGTTCAACCCAGTATCCTATTAGAACCATTGTGGTTTTGGTTCAAGAAAACCGATCATTTGATCACATGCTAGGATGGATGAAGTCCCATCAACCCGAAATTGAAGGTGTCACTGGGAATGAATCAAACCCTTTGTCTACCTCTGATTCAACCTCCAAACGCATATACTTCAGTGATCAATCTGGGTATGTTGAACCAGACCCTGGCCACTCGTTTGAAGCCACGCATGAGCAAATCTTTGGTACACTGTGGAGTGAGGATTCTGCAGCCCAAAATTCTCTTCCCACCATGGAAGGCTTTGCTCAGCAGGCTGAGAGTATAAAGGAAGGGATGTCTGAGATTGTGATGAATGGTTTCAAACCGGATGCCATTCCGGTTTATAGAGAGTTGGTGAAAGAATTTGCTGTTTGTGATAGATGGTTTTCGTCGATTCCTACATTGACACAACCAAACAGGCTGTTTATTCACTCTGCAACGTCCTATGGTGCCACAGCTAATGACACAAAAATGTTGATTGAAGGGTACCCTCAGAAGACCATTTTTGAGTCATTGGAAGAGAATGGCTGTAGTTTCGGGATTTATTATCAGTACCCTCCTACCACACTTTTCTACAGGTAAGTAAAATATAAATCTTTAGAAGAATTCTATGAATCTGTTTATCCTTCTGTGACTTTTGGAATAACTTTGATAGGAACCTAAGGAAATTGAAGTACATTAGGAACTTTCATCAGTTTGATCTGCATTTCAAGCATCACTGCGAGAAAGGGAAGCTACCAAACTACGTAGTGATTGAGCAACGTTATTTCGAAACCAAATTGTTGCCGGGAAATGATGACCATCCTTCCCATGATATCTCCGAGGGGCAGAGATTCGTGAAGGAAGTATACGAAGCCTTGAGATCGAGCCCTCAATGGAATGAAATATTGTTCGTGATTATCTATGATGAGCATGGTGGTTTCTATGATCACGTGCCACCACCTGTGGTTGGAGTTCCGAGCCCTGATGACAATGTAGGCCCTGAACCGTATAGGTTCAAGTTTGATAGGCTTGGAATCAGGGTTCCTGCCATCTTGATATCTCCTTGGATTGAACCAGGGACTGGTACGTCTAATAGTTCATATGACATTGTAAAGTTTTTCTGATAAATATTTACTAATCATAGTGGAAAATGCAGTGTTACATGGGCCAACAGGGCCATATCCGACATCAGAATTTGAACATTCATCAATCCCGGCTACTGTCAAGAAGATTTTTGATCTCGAAGAATTCTTGACGAAAAGAGATGCGTGGGCTGGTACTTTTGAAGTTGTCCTGAATAGGAGTAGCCCAAGAACTGATTGTCCAGGTAACTGGGTCCTCTGATACCATGTTATAAACTAAGATTCAGCTGTAATACACAGGCCAAATCACACTAAAAGATTGAATCCAACCAATTAGCTAGTCTAATCCATGGCCTTATAAACCCATTTGTTCTCTCTTATGGGACTCTTAACAACTATGATGTATTTACAAGAACTTTGGGTGGTTCACCTCTACCATTTTAGCATTGTTGTTATGTGACTTTTTGCCACTTTTCCAGTTATATTACCAGAGCCAGTGAGATTACGAGACACTGGGCCAAATGAAGAGGCAGGTCTGAGTGAATTCCAAGCAGAATTAGTTCAACTGGGCGCTGTGTTGAACGGAGACCACTCCAGAGATGACATCTTTCCCCACAAATTAGTGGAGAACATGAAGGTTTTCGAGGCTGCTGACTACATTGGAGGAGCGTTTCAGAAATTCACTCAAGATTGCCACAAAGCCATTGAAGATGGGGCTGATGAATCCCATATTATTATCTGTCCTGCAAAACCAGACCCACCTGATCATCAAGAACATCACCGGAGACCCAAAACCTTTGTTCGGAAGATACTTTCATGCCTAGTTTGTGATCTATGATCTATCCTAGCTAATACTACATTTTGTGGATCAGTGTTTTATTCTTACCATATTGAAGTTTTCAACAAGCTTATATATATATATATTACTGTACTTAATCTTTGAAACTAAGTTTCACAAGTCATTGTTTTTCTATTGTGAAAGTATTTTACATTGCTATTATTCCGATGTTTTTACATCCAACTGCAAGTCCAATTTCACACAAACATGAAAAGTGAGTTTGATTTATTAACTCGGTTCTTATTCTGCTGCTGAAACATTCCAGCATTGAACCAAGTTTGAAAGAAATATATCATAGTAGAAGTACTTATTATTTTCAGGTCTGAACGGGGGGCATGTCAGCGCTTCCCTTTCTTCACTACATTAGTCTTGTACCAGCTCATGAACTTTGCTATGAATTCTGCATTGGAGAAAGAAAGAGAAGACGAATCATACGATAAACATGGAGGATTGACTCGATGATCGTTGAGTCTAATACGGTATGGAAAATACTTCTCTCACCTTCAATCTTCATAAACTGCTGAACAGTCTGTCGTAATGGATCATTATGTATGTTACCCGATTCCTCACCGTTCAACTGGCTCTGGGGGAAAAAGAGAAGGTCAGATTACTGTGATTTCGTTTAAAAAAAGACTTAAAAGAAGACAAAATTGACAGTTTACTTTGTATTTCTGCTGTAGATTGTCTATGTCGTTCTGTAACTGCTTGTCCAAGTTCTTCTTTAGCTCTTCTCCCAGAGTCTGCATATTGAAGAAGATTTAAGATTAGTCGGTGAACTTTCAATACTTTGGTTGCTTACGAAGAGAGAAGCTCTCATACATAAAAGATGAACTCTGCAGAAACATTGTGCTCTATCAGATTCTGAAGTTTCCTGCGGATTTCATAAAGCCTGTAAGAAACACGAGTTCTGATGTTAGAATCTTTAGAAAAAAATTGCTTTTAACGTTTTGAGCTTAACAGTTGAAAGTTGAAACTCACTGTCTTGGGCTTTGCTCTTCGATTATATTTCTGGCAATCTTTGCTATATCATCCTCCCACCCATTCATGATTTCTTGATCTTCCTTCAGCAAAGAACTGAATATGGTGTGTTACATTATATATTATTATATTTACTTGTGGGTAACGGGAAAATTCTATGTAGATCTGAGCATGCATTTCTTACTTGTGGTGCCAGGTTGCTTCGAATGATCGTATGGCCTGTCTTAAATTTCTTTTTGCACTGTTGGCAAATTTTTCTGCGAGTGGGTGTGGGAGCTCGACTCCTTCCTGTTCAGCTATGAATTCCAAAACATTGATAATCTGTAGCAGAAAGAAAATCTTTTTGAGCTAAATAAACAAATGGGGCGATCTGAGTTGTATCCAGGAGTTCGAAGTTCCAACCTCTTCGTTCGAAGGTGAGTGAAGTTGAACAACTTTGCAGGTCGACTTTATAGGCTGGAGTTTCGATGCATCACTGCAACAAAAGAACACTTTATAACAGCCTTTATACTTCTCCAATATCCATTTGATATAAAGCAGTGAATCTGTTGATAGCTTTTCTGCCTCGCATATTATGATTGCTGCATAAAATCAAAGATACGAGGTACGTTAGTTATTATTACCAATTTACTCGCTTTCAATTCCAATAATATTCTTGGTTTTATGAAGAACTAGAACTCCGGTAATACCTTTATAGTCTTCTTGATTGCACGGGAGTGGTATACCGGAGAGCTTGCTACTTTTCCCTCTGATAAGTTCAACAATCACATGCTGCTCATAGCCTTTAGTTTCGGAGAGATTGATCTCGATGTGCCTCATTGATACCTTTACGTTTACTTTGATGCTTGGCACTGATTCACCCTATGATGCATACGAGGGAATCTCAGAATTGTATCTAGAAAAGTATCTGACTCTGTTACAATGCAATATCTGTTCATAACTACTTTCTCAACCTACTGAAGCACAAAGAGTCAATACAGCCTCCACTGAAGCTCGAACCCGCAACCTCCCATATGGGAGAGCAACTTGGTGCCACTAGACCACAAGGTCCTTGGCATCTGAATACATAGTTAACAGACAACCTTAAAAGATTAGAGCATACCTTTAAAGACAATACCTGGCGTTCCTCTCTAGCCTGTGAACACAAATTAGAATGTTTTTTTTCTTTCTCTTTTCTGTGACAGAAATTGTATTTTTATTCAATTGCTTGTATATGAATATGATGAAAGGCATACCTGTACTTTATCTGGGCCAAAAACTTCGCGAAGCAGTGCAAAAATCATTGTTCTCTTTCCCACTCCGGGTGGCCCTTCAAATATGAAATGTTCATCACAACAGTTTTTTGCCTGCAAAAAAAAAAAAAAAAAAGGTTTGGATCCATTAAAAGAGGGATAGAATCCTCCATTTATCATGGTGATGATGAATTGATGATCTCGGGAAGTTGATATTTGTACCATGGCTTGTAGCTCGAGTGCCATATTTTTATTGCACAGGAAATCTTTCAGAGATTGTGGTCTGTGCTTATCTGCCCAGATGAACTTAATTTCATTTTCTTCCACTTCTGCAATAGATTTTCCCTGAGCTGGAGGTGGAGATGATTCTTTGTCTTGCTCGGATGGCTGCACGAGTGGCGTTGGTGGTGGAGATGGCAGTGATAGGCGTGAGGAGGGCAATGGCTCGGGCGGGTGTTGGGGCAGTGATGGGGCGATGATTGGCGGCTGGGGCAGTGGTGGTGGCTGTTCTGATACTCTCTCCCTCAAGGACTTCTCGTGAAGGCCTGTCCTGGAACTGTGGTGAATCTCCTGTTTTTTACCTTGTTCTTTTCGAGTTTTTGTGCTCCGGGATTGTGTTGTTTCTGATACTTTCTCCCTCATGGGCTTCTCTTTACTGAACAAAGTGTAAAGATCAGTCCTAGAATTGTGACCATGATTCTTTTCTTGTTCGTTTCCTGTTCTTCTGCTCTTAACTTTTGTTTCCTGGTTGCAGGCAGTTCTATCTTCCTTTCCCTTGGCCACGAACCTCGAGTTTCGCCACTCCTGAATCTTAACAAAACTGGAACTCATAGTCATAGCCACTGAGAAAGATTCTCTGAGGGGACTTGATTCTGCCAGCTTCTGTTTCTCAATGCCAATCTTTTGGTTTGTGAGCCCTCTGTAATAAGGGCTGGAAGGCTCTCTCTTTCCCTCTCTAATCTCATTTCTTCTGTCAAACTCCTTCATGTTCTCCACTGTCAGATTGGAGTTCTTGGAAGAAGATGATGATGATATCCATTTCTTTCTTGTGATCTTCTGGAGGGTCGAGGCGATAGACTCGGCCGACTTTGAGGTCTTGAATGAAGCTGCAGTTATGTCCGAGCTCGAGGGGGAGTGTTTACCAGCATCTGGGATGCTGGGAACGGATTTGCATCGCGGGATTGAGGGACTCGACATTGAACAACTTGATGGTGAGATTCACAGTTTTTTTCTGTTTCTGGTTTAGGATTAGAAGGAATAGTGAGGATGGTCTTTGGTGATAGTGATGGGAATGGAATGAAGCCAATTGACAGCACATATATCCTAAAACTTCGATGGAACTGAGAATGGAAGATTTCTTTGGCGTTAACAACAACAGAATGTGTAATGTGAACAGCCTCACAGTCATAAATGATCAAACAAAACCCGCCAGCCGAATTAGAATTTGAGATTGAGTCGAGATCACGGGTAGATAAACGGGTCACTAGTTCATGAGATAATTGTAGCGGGAGAATTCCAGCAAAGTTAGTCAGACTGTTGGCCTGATAACTACAAGGCTCCAATGACTCTCATTGGAATGATTTATTGGCCTTCTTGGTTTAAGCTGATCAACTATGAGTAATTTAGGTTGGTTTACCTCTCATTAGGATCACAAGGTGGAATTATTCAGTGTATATTCACAGATAGTGACTGCGATTTTTCCTCGTCACCTACGTGTAGTAGATGGACTACTAGTTCATAAGATAATTGTGTTAGGGCAACTCTAGCTAAGTTGGACAAACTATTAGTGATAGGGAATATTTTCCGATTTGACCTCTCTATACGTTCATGCTTTCGTTTTGTAGTCCGATTCGGGTCAAGGTCAAATAGTTTAAGCCTATATAAAGGCCATTAGACTCACAAGTTAGGAGTTCCTTCCCTTGTCTCTCCACTTCACACTCTCTCGATGCATTTAATAAAAGAAGCCTTTTGAGCAAGATAACAAGATACCCTCATCCTCTCTTGATCTTTATACAATTTCTACACATATTATACATCATTTATATACATTCTGCATACGCGAGTTGAATAAACGATATAGTTAATTTGGTAACTATAAGGCTCCAAGTTCGACTTCAAATGGAATGACCTGTTAGTCTTCTTAGTTTGAGCCAATTAACTATAACAACCTAGTCTGATTTACCTCTCTATAATCATTTGCCAACTAAAATCACAATACAAAAATTACCCAGTACATATCATCTAGTAGTGACTACGGTCTCTTTTGTAATCCAAAAAAAAAAAAAAAAAAAAAGAGATAATTGTGGTCTGTCATCTACTCACCTATGATGTTCTTGACCCTAGAATTGTAATACAAGTGGGAATGGAATCAGCCATTTGATTTTCATCTGAAATTTTCAACTCAAAAGGTCAATTATCTAACGTTGCTTTCATGCCAGTAGTTGTCGTAAGGGTGTTCGATTTCACCATCTTAAGATTCTATATTTATTCAACTCAAAAGGTCAATTTACACCTGTGGGTATATGATGATGAGATTGCAATCATCCGCATTATTCATACCAACTACTCCCCATTTTTCTTGAAGAGAAAAACATGTCGACATTATTAGAAGGTATACACTTAGTAAATTATATCTTTGTGTAATAATTTGTGAATGATGGATAAGTAAATCTCACTAGATCTTGTGCGATATGTTCAATTGAAAACTTATAACTTTTCGATACGAGAATCATGTTCTACTCACTCGATCACTTCTTTTAGACACCTTCAAGTATGAGAATCACTACTCTCTTTTTTAGATATATATACGTGGAGAAATGGAGATTGGAAGTGCACTATTTGGTTCATAGTAAAGATGTTCAAACAACTGGTTTTATTGAACTCGGTCCAATATAAACCCTACAATCATAGTAAGGGTGTTCAAACGGCTTGTAAATATTAGGACTTAGGAGTACAAGTAAATGTAGTAAAAATATGTTCGATCAAAGAGATAGCATGTTATCAATCAAATGAGAGCGTGTTCACGCTCTCCCTTCGTCCAAATTTTTATACAGTTTGACACATTTAATACAAATTATTGCTAATATGAACGTGTTCACGCTCTCCCTTCGTCCATTTTTTGCCCTTTTTAATCTATTTCTCAAAATTTTATTGGACAAGTTCCTCCCCGAACTACATCATATTATGCTTTGAGTTCTACTATACATACTCCCAAATTCTACTTCATTGCTTCTACTTCCTAATGTGGCAAATAATAATAGGTTATTTTTATTACGTGGATCCACATAAAAGTGTTTACATCAAGAACTTGTGAGATGAAGTAAAAGTTGGGAGTATAAAATGAGAGTCGATCCTGTTGAACATATAATCATTAATGTGCAATCCAACTATTAGCTTAGGCTTTTTAGTTGAGATGGAACGCATGCTTTAATTTGATATCAGAGTCGCGCCACCCAATAAAAAAAAAGAGACTACGGTCCACGTATTGCCACACGTGAGAAAACGTGTTGAGCATATAACCATTAATATTTTCCTTGTGCTTGAACATCAATGTCACATCACAATCCATGAATCCAAGCTAGTAATGACAAACATGGGAATCATGCACAATCCAAAACTACTATAATTTTCTCATATCTTAACATATATTCTACCCAGTTAATGACCATGTCATTGTCAAACAGTAATAAAAGTGTCCAAGTGCCTAGCTATATTAGTTAAACAATTGGCTTGATAACTATAATATTTTAAATTTTATCAATTGTCTTTCTCGATTTGAGCCGATCAGTTATGATTTATGAATAACCTAAATTAGTTTATCTCTCTATAATCCTCTGTCAGTCAAAATCACAATATAAATTTCACCTAAAGTGTAGCTTGTAACAATTGAAGAATCCCTGTAAATCGAAGTATATATGTTTCGATATATCCGAGGTACATTTGACCATTTCTTATTAACCTCTGTCCCCAGTTGCCCCAGCCAATTAATTATCTATAATCCGCAGTCTTAATTCCCTCGCCGAGGTAATTTAAGTAGTAATTAAATTAAATTAAATAATTACGTCAACCAAAGCGGATTCCTTTTTTATTTTCCAGATAGAGTTGTCAAGACTTTTTTTTTAATATATTAAATAACAGAAAAATCCAATTCTTACGCTCTGAACGTTTGAATGTTCACTTAATCACTTCACTCTTTACCTAAAACCTCAAGGAATAGAAAAATCCTTTTTATATTATTATTTTTTTCACAAAGGAAAATCAACACGCAGACGTCCGAGCTAAAGGATCGACAAGACATAAATTTTCTGGTAAATTTTTGGATATTTTAATGTTTTATTTCTTCTGATATTTAACATTATTGTTACAAGAGATTTGGTTTTCTTAGTTATAGATTACAGGCATGAAGTCTCTATGCATGTTCCAGAGGCAATGTGGATGTGATCGATCTGATGGCTGCTAAGAAAGAGATTATAAGACTCCCATCCAGGTAAAATGGAATGTGCTTATATATTTCATAATATCGATATCATCCATCTTTAACTGAAACTGTACAATTTAATCTTTTTTTGAGTTTAAGGTGGGAGCGAATGTTATTAGTAATTATCGTTTTTTGGTGTTCTGTTTAGGAAACCAAACGAAAATGCACCGTTAGATGTTCAGCTACAAATAGGTGGAGTGCCATTGTCATTGAACAAGGTATCTTTCTTTTAATTACATACAATAGGGTGTTTGGTAAATAACTGTTAACTGATTGAGTTAGTGTGTTTGACTAGTTGATAGCATTAGCGGATGATAGAAAAGTGTTTGGTAAATTAGTTGTTAGCTGATTACATGCAAAATTACTTTCTCAGCTGATCGAAAAAACTACTTTGAGCAGCTTTTTGAATTTTAGCATTTTGAAGCAATAAGTTGTTATAAAAACTAATGAATCAAACACTCGTATTGATTGTTTAACCAAGTTAAACAGCTAATAGTGGTCAAATAAGCTAAAATTGACTGATAAGCTAACTATGTTACTAAACAGGGCCTCTGTACGAGGTTTACTTTGTCCCAAAAAATTTTACTATTACTATGTTTACTAACCTTTGGATAACATGTTAGGAGCTTCTTGGTGACAAATCTGCTAAGGTAGCTGCATTGCTAAGGAAGAACCCTGAAGATGATCTATCCCATTTGCTGGGGGAGATCCCCACTGATCCGCAAACCCTCGAGCTCATGGCAAGATTCTGCCACGGTTTCAAGATAACCCTCACAGCTCAGAATGTTGTTCGGGTTTACTGCCTCGCTCACCACCTCGGGATGACCGAGGAACACAGGCCCAACAATCTTCTCAGGACGGCTCTTGTCTACTTTCAGCACAATGTCCTTTCTAGCTGGAACAAATCCATCAAAGCCCTCAAATCTGCAGAGAGTGTTTTTCACCAAGCAGTGGAGCTCGGGTTGGTTGATGCCTGTGCCGAGGCGATTATCAATCAGGCTCTGGATAATCCTTTGCTTCTCGGAGAACCTGCAGCGAAGAAGGCGACACACGAGGATGATTACAGCGAGGGCGAAGAGAATAATGCTTACAGACCAAATGTAAGTAGGAGGCTCTTCGATTGGAAATCAGAGGACTTGACTATACTGTCTATCAGACTTTACGAGCCCATCATGCGTGAAATGGCCCGCCGCAATGTTCACCTCGAATATATTGCTGCATCGCTATGTCAATATGCTAAGAATTGGGTTTATAATAGCATCAAAGGAGACGATGATTCCACCGCATATAAGAGGAATTCCATGAGAGAAATCATAGAAGCGGTAGAGAGAGTATTACCTCGCGAGAAAGGGCTGATTTCGAGCACATCGCTCTTCGAAATGCTGCAGTCCGCGATATCCTTGGATGCTAGCGATGAATGCAGAGACGGTTTAGAGGTCCGGATCGGGAAACAGCTCGACCAGGCAACCGTCAAGGACCTGCTAATACCTTATCAGGGATATGCTAAAGACGAAAAGTATGATACCGAGTGTGTAAAGAGGATATTGAGGAACTACTATCACAATTACACCAGTTCCGAGAAATCTGGATTGATTAAAGTTGCGGAACTCATGGAAGAATTCTTGGCCGAGGTTGCCAGTGACATAGACTTGAAGGTCGATACATTTACATCACTTGCAGACTTATCAGCCTCGGTATCAGACGAAACCAAGAGACACTCAGATGGAATATACAGAGCCATCGGTATCTACTTAGACAAGCACAAATACCTGACACAATGGGAGCGGGAGCAGGTCTGTAACGTACTCGACTGCAACAAATTGTCCCCGGAAGCCTGTCAACACGCCGCCCAGAGCGCCTGGTTGCCACTCCGGTTGGGGGTGCAGATTTTATTCGCGGGGCAGCTGCACCTGAGAGACACGATCACCAAGGAAATTCAGACCTCCGATCCCGGGTTGTTGAAGTTGGACAAAGAGGAAGAGGAAGAGGAAGAGGAAGCCGTGAGGGCGAGCAACAGTGGAGACGAGGTAAGAGCAGAGATGGAAAAGATGGGCAACAAGGTGTTGGAGCTAGAGCGGGAATGCAATATAATGAGGACGGAAATTCAGAAAGGCTGCTGCAGTAATAAGGTTAAAAACGAGAAGTTGAGTATGTGGAAAGAAATGAAGAGGAAGTTCGGGTGCATTACCAGCACACACGATTGCAACTGCCACGTGAAGAAGAAAAAGGTGCATCCAAGATAGTATAGCATAGAGACCAGCCCTCCTGCTTTTCCGAACCTATAAAATTTTCCCGGTTTTAGCTCACTTATCTACCACTTCATTATCATTACAATCGCGAGAAAAGTAAAATTATCTTCATATCAATGTCAAATCAGTAACTTGCATAGGCATAGTTCAAAGGCAACCTCATATTAGAGGGGGAAGTGTACAAATAGATTAACAGCATAATATTCTTCAACCATGTACCATTACAAAAGAAAGGACTCTTTCCTAGTAAAAGTGTTTTTTTTTTTTTTTCCTAAAAGAGCCGCCAAACTAATGATACTCGATACTCCAGAATTCACATTTTCCTCAAAAGAATAAACAGCCTTTGGTCAAGCTTAAATTTGTGCATGTTCAGCGGCTCACTGCTCAGCTTCAGTTGAAGTCCTCCAAAAGAAATATATGCCACCCTAAGATGACAGAATGGACAAAGATTCAATCAGTGGACACACAAAATTGCAAGTTTATACTCCACACAGCTATTGTCGGGAACTTCTTTTTTCACGTATGAAGAGAAAAACTGGCTAGTAAGTAGTAACTATATCCAACAGTTTAAAGGTGACCTTATGTTGCTATAAACAACCTGACGAGAGAGTAAAGAAACGAAATAGAAAAAGGGATATAGTACATACACTTTAGATGATTCCTCTGCAACCTTATATAACAGTCCATGCATGACATACTCAAATTTGTCCGCAAGCGATTTCAGCTTACCCTGCAAACAAAGGTAGTATTTGTTCTATACTTTCTCAAACATTTTCAGCCCAAAGAATCTAAGCCCCTACTACCAGGGTTCGAACCTATGACCATCCATTTGGAATGGTAACCGGGATGTCATCACAGTACATGGTAGTTAGCGCAAACATAGGTACTTATTTTATACTTTATAAGTTGTTAGAATGCTAAGTGAACCAAAGTTTAGTAATCTGAAAGGCAATCATTTCAAAGAATGTTACTTGCTTCAATAAGTATATGATATGATGATGATTTTCAGACATCAAGAAAACCACACAACAGGCAAATATTTACCTTAACAGTTTCAATTGCTAACTTAGGCTGTCAGTGGAAGTTGAGGAAGATGAATGGTTGAATTCCAAAGTCAAAATTTGAGAAGCCACTAACGGCTATGCAGTATGCAACATACTAGAATAATGGATAAGTCATGCTTGACCAACACTCCTAGGTTGAAAAAAAAAAAAGAACTTATATACAAGCAAGCAAGTAAAAGAGCGGGATACCTCAGGGTTGCTACCAGTAGCTGAACCATCTAAAGCAAGAGTTTGTGATAACACCATCCTATACAACTCATTCTTCTTAACAGGATATAGCTCCGAGTTTATATCTAGCACTATATCTGTCTTACCATCTTGACTCTTTGCATCAATCCGAGAAACTGAAGAAAAAACAAAAAACCTTAAGCATAAAAAAGATAAAGAGTACTTAATTACAAATGAGCTATCAACATAGCCAAATCTAATATCTGTCAACAGAAATTCCATGCACACATCAGGATGGCACTATGGCAATCACCCCAAGCACCCATTGCTGGGCAAATTATACTATGGACCATGATAAATGTTCATTTTTAATACACTGTAGGTTCATGAACCTTCAATACCAAAAAAAAACATTCAATTATTAAAATTTTCCATGGTATAATGAGATGATACCTTTGTCATACTTTTTACCATCAGCATCCACTTCAACGACCTTGATAATATCATCAAAGTGAAAACCAGACATCTTGACAGAAATTTCCTAAAGGAGAGGTGGGCAAAGAACACGAATTAAGAGCCTGTACAATTGCCGCAACTCTCAACAGAGATACTGAGCTATTATATATATATTATATACGGACAAAAATTAGATTAAGGTCGAGACATCCTCGAATCAAAGGGGTTAAACATAGCAGTATACACCACCATTGCACCAAGAATAACATGAACACAACTACAAATTCATAGTGATTTCCTCTGCATTTAGCAGTGAAAAACTAGCGAACAAATTTCCACATTAAAGTAAAAAAAGGAGTACATAAATTGCCTGCCTATAGATTCCGGAGTAATAGATTCACTGGTACCTGAGAATTGGAGAGAAGACAGAGACGTTCGTCGCCGTCACGGCGTCACTAGTCCAGAGGAAGCCGGAAAGAAAAAAATCCTCAAACCGGTTATGGCGGCAGGGAAATTATGCCTTTGTGGTGTTGGGTTTATACGTCATCAACATAATACGGAGTATTTAATTCGGATCCAACCTGACCCAGTGGACCGGATATGTTCACAAATTACATTTAAATATACACAATTTACCTTTTAAAAATTTATAATTTTTAACTCATCATGTTAATATATATGTAATTGATTATCTTATTCTGTATTCACGAGTTCCTTTCAAAATACTCAGTCACACAATATTAACATATTATGATTTGATGACTCTGTATTGTATTTACAAATTTCTTTCTATGTGTTTTGACTTAGAAACACAATTTATATTCTAGAAGTTCACAATTCCAATACTAGAAATACACAATTTATACGTCGTTTAGGATCAGGGTCTGTCTTGCAATGTGGACCCTGGTCTATGGTATAACAACTTAGTCCCGTAAATTATTCTATGGATCTGGGCCCACCTTGCAAAGTGGACCCGAGTCCAAATGATCACAATTTACATACTAAATGTTCACAATTTATCTTTTAAAAATTCACAATTTGTACACTATGAACACACAATGTTAACATATATGTAATTGATGATTACTTTGTTTTATATTCACAAGTTTCTTTCAAATACTACAGTCACACAATATTAACATATTGCGATTTGATGACCATGTATTGTATTTCACAAATTTCCTATGTTATAACTTAAACACACAATTTATATTATAGAAGTTTACAATTTCAATACTAAAAATATACCATTTATACTTCGTTTAGGACCAAGATCCACCTTAGCTTGCAAGGTGGACCTTGGTCCATGGTATAACAACTCGGTTGGACAAATTATACCATGGACCAGGGTCTACCTTACAACCCTCGGGTGCCAGGCTACACGACCGTTGTAGACCGGATGTGAGAAAGCACGCGGGCGACCCAGTAGAGTCCTCGGGTTGACACGACCCGGTCTAACGTTTCCCGACCGACCCTCTAACAACAGTAGCTCGACCGAGGGATTTGCCCCAGGCGCGGATCGCCGCGAGACCAAACGACCGTTATCGTCTTGTCAGCCGGGCTCGACCCTGGGGGTCGGGACCGAGCAGGCCCTGGCTGCCGCGTGGAGGCTATCTAGCCGGCCTTACTCATGACCGGTGCATGGCTGCCACATGGCAGGCATGCCGGAATCCCGGGCTGACACTTTTTCCCCTCTATAAATAGCGCATTAAATGCGTGTTGGAGGGGACTTTTGGGCACTTGTCTGAACTGGAACATCCCAACCTACCGTCAGGAGTTCGAACACTAGACCTCGCCCGCATACGTACTCTGACCTGTATATACTATATCAGTATCTATAGTTGACACATTCTGTACTTGCAGTTTATAGTTTTTGTACCTGTAGCTATCATATTATGGGTCAGCAATTATCAAGTCAGATTTTGTATCTATAGTTGACACATTATGTACATGCAGTTGATAGTTTATGTACCTGTAGCTATCGCATGATGTGTTAGCAATTATCAAATTATTTATTTACATGTACAGGAACTGTTAATGGTATGTACATAATGCATGTGTTAACTGAATGTACAAAATTTTTATATTAGAGTTCATAATGCAATATGAACCCTGGTACATGGTATAACAATTGGATGGGTTGTGCTTTCAATTAAAAGTACTCTCAATTTACACTTTAGGGCATGATAATCTCAATACGAACGTAACTCTTTGACTTACAACTTAGGGTGTGTTTAGTTAATGGGTTTACACATTAGAAATTGAATCAAAATCATAGTTAGTGTTTGGTTGATAACGTTTTAAAACGCATTTATGGGATTTGATTACGTACCCTTCAGTTAAAAACTTTATTACCTAATTAAAAACGGGTATCATTCAATTTTAGTGGTTATCTGATTTTTAAGTTTGGATTGGTGCTTTTAGATTTTTGTTTTGATTTATTTTGTTTATATGAGTGCTTTGGATGTCATTATATTAAGATCAATTGCCTTAATTTTTTATTTTTGTGTTTTTAAAACATGTATTCTCATTATAGGGTCATACATAACCAAACAGTACGTAATATTAGTAATCATTCCAATTCCACTATACTACCAAACATGCAAAATTTTTTACCAAAACTCATTACCATTACAAAGAATTTGATTCCCATTCTGATACGAATTTCCTTGTGTGAACCAAACAAACCCTTAATATTACTCAAATTAAAACAGAAGAACTCATATAAATCATGCATGTGAGAGTGAACACAACTATAAGAATTATATTGATTTCTTTAAGAAAAAAAAAAATGTTACAGCATTTTTCTAAGAGTAGACTCTAAACAAAAATGTGTTTTGATCCTAGGTCCATCAAAAAACACGACACCAAAACCATACATATATGTGCACCCGATGAAACCTACGCACAGATCGAGAAATGCTGAGTTGATATCACAACTATGGACCAATGATGATATGCATGTTTTCCTCTTTTTGTGTGTTCTCTACATTTTCTTCATCTTTTCTCCCTGAAACCATAATAATAATAAGAATTCCCACACCAAAACGCCAGATTAGGTTGGCTTCTACCCTTCCCTCCCAACATAACGTTACGTTGCATGCATGGAATGTTACGTACATATATACGTCGAACATCCATGTATTTGACTACGTAATCATCATATATCACTTTTCCTTGAACTCATCACCGATCGATCCAATCCTTAATATATAGACGACTCCGAGAAATCTAGCTAGCTAGCTATCCCATCCAGTCTGAAACTCCATCCTTGACGTACCTTCTGTGATCTGAATTTATTCTTGATTTTTTTTTTGTTTTTTTTTTTTTGGTTTTTTTCTGATGTGAAGGTTTGAGTGAATCTCCGGCGAGGATAACCGCTCCCGAACGGAAAAGAGGGAGTAATTAGAGCAGATCAGATCGGGGTATATATATGGAGGAGCGGCAAGGGGACATTAGGGTCCCGTTGATCGCGTGCGTATTGTGCGTATTCGTAACGGCCGGCGGCGTGTTTCTCGGCATCTACGTTTTCTACCCGAGCGAGGCGGAGCCATGGTTTCTGGCGGTGGCGTTCTTGATGATCGGGTCGCCGTGGGTGTTCTGGGTCGTCACGTATTTCTACACGTGCATAAAGCGGTGCCTGGCGGGGAAGAGCGCCGAGAACCGTCAGATATCGATGCGGAGCTCGGGATCGATCAGTACTGAAAAATCGGAAAACAGTGATAATGAGAAACCGCCGCCACCGCCGCTGCCGTGAGATGCGGCGGCCGCGGCCGCGCGGAAGCGTAGCCCCTCGAAGGAATCTGCCTTGTCGGATCTATCGGTTAGTTTAATCTAAGGGAAATTTAGTATGTGATCTGATATATATACGCCCTCTATCTATTTTTGTATATATTATATCTTGTCAATATTGAGGAGGTTTCAATGGAGGACATAATAGAATGGTATATATTAAAATGAAAGTGATTGTATATTTGTATATATGAGTGAGATGCTACATTTAATATTGAGATAGATTAGAATATTTTATATTCTTATTGACAAAGTGTTTTAGTATGCATGCAACTAATCAAATAATGTAATATTAAAAGAAATGTTTATATCATATCAATAAACGGAGACGAAGATAGAACTCCATTTCACTCCGAGTGACTTAAAATACACTGTTCAATTTGCATGCTTGTCAAATGAACTTGGAATCTCTTTACATTACAAAGAACTACTAGTATTAATACATGGAAAAAGGAACTATTTTTATGGCAAATCAAGCAATTAATATCATTTAGCCGTATAGAGTGTGTTGATTATTGGTGAGTACTAAGTAGCCGATCGAAGAAAATTGTATGTAACAAGTTACTTTAAAGTTAGAAATAACTCAAACCACTTATAAGTTCTTTTAATTTGCTAAATGACTACCCTACTAGCAATGGTTAGCTTAACTTATTGGATCAACCCTAATAAGGCGTAAGTAATAACTCTTAACATCACCTATTCAGAAATAGAGATAATCAACGTTTTTGTCCCTCAATTGTTTCTCAACTATCAATATAGTCATTAGTTTTCAATTTCAACCAATTTGATCTTCGAATTGTTTAAAATTTCGTCAAGTAAACTCTTTTAGGGACCAAAATAGTGATTTTCACTTTTTTAAAATTTTGTCAATTTGATCCCTGAAAGAGTTTAATTAACGAAATTTTACATTCCAAGATCAAATTGGTTGAAATTGCAAACTATGAACTACATTGACAGTTGGGAAATAATTGAGGGACCAAAATGTTGATTTCCGCTCAGAAATATAATGACAATGGCATTATCAATACATAACTGCGTCCACATTCTCAATGAGGACAGAAAGGCTCTCTAACTCAGTGTAGATTTCCCCAGCTTGGGGATGGGATTTATCATTATATACAAACTGAGAGAAACACCCATTCACCTCAATCCAACTACAAGCCAATTCCTTTCTTAATTGGCGTTGTCTGAGATTGATTCTAATCTCTGCAACACTTTCCCACATCCCTCTTGAGGCATAAGTGTTTGATAACAGCACAGACATCCCTACAGTAGAAGGGCAAATTAATGTCTGAAACTCTTTCGCCACAAAATCGCCTAACTTGAAGCTGTCGTGGACTCTGCAACTACTGACTAACGTTTCCCGAGCATATGTTGGGAAGTGGGCTGGCAACCGTTTAACAAACTCGAACGCTTCTGATAACAAGCCTGATCTGGCAAGGAGGTCGACCATGCAGGCATAATGTTCTGGTTTCGGGATGACATGGAAGGTTTTCTGCATCGAGTTGAAATATTCCCAGCCTTTATCAACCATCCCGGAATGAGCACAGGCAGCTAAGAGCCCCATGAATGTTATGTGGTCTGGTTCAAATCCATCTTGAAGCATTGAATGGAAAAGATTGAGAGCTTCTGTAGCGGAACCGTGGTATGCTTGTGCAACAATCATGGCGTTCCAAGCAGCTGTATCGCGGTTTTTCATTTTGTGGAAAACGCAGGTTGCATCATCTATAAAACCACACCGAGAATACATGGAAATCAATGAACTAAGTATCATGATATCGTTTTCCAGGCCGCTTTTGATAACGCTAGCATGAACAGCGCGGCCACAGCCCTGCAGAGCAAGAAGCCCACACATGGATATTACGCTGGGGAAGGTTCCTTGGTTGGGCTTAAGTCCATTTCTTAGCATGTGGAGATAGTAAAACAGAACCGCCTCGTTTTGGAATCCAGAAATCATGGTGTTCCAAGAGGTTTCGTCTTTCCTAGGCATCTCCTCGAAGAATCTGTTAGCGGCTTTCAAGTCGCCTTGTTGCACATATGCGAGGAGAATCAAATTCCATGACACTACATCTCTTTTTGGCATCTTCCTGAAAAGATCAAGAGCCTCTTGCAGATTCCCATTTTGAGCATAGCCGCTAATCATTGAGTTCCAGGCAACAATATCCCGACTGGGCATTTTGTCAAACAGTTCCTGTGCCTCCTGAATCTGATTATTATCCAAATAACCCTTCATCATTGTAGTCCAAGCCACTATATCCTTCTCAGGCATGTCATCAAAAAGTCTTCTAGCTTTTACCACCTTCCCAGCTCTTAACAAACATGAAATCATACTAGTCCAAGAAGCAATGTCGCGGGTGCCCATCTTTACAAACAACTGAAAAGAATCTTCAACATTCCCCCTTTCTGCATAACCTGCTAACATGACATTATAAACTGACACACTTTTCTCTGCTACTTCGTTAAACAACTTCTCAGCTTCAATCACATCTCCATATTGAAAGTATCCTTCAATCATGATTGCCCAAGAAGTAGAGTTCCTAGCTGGCATTGTGTCAAACAATGCTCTGCCTTCCGCTATTCTCCCATTGCTCACATACCCAGAAATCATCGAATTCCAACACACCAAATTCTTATCCCCCACTGAATCAAACAACATTTTAGCTTCTTCTAACTTTCCGTTTCTCGCGTACCCACTTAACATCGCTGTCCAAGACACGACATTCCTGCTTGGCATTGAGTCGAAGAGTTCCTGAGCTTGCTGGATCATCCCATTCCTAATGTACCCAGAAATCATGCAGTTCCAAGTCACCACATTTCTATGGGGTAATTCATCGAACAGTTTACGTGCGGCTTGCACATCGCCTTCCTTGAAATACCTGGTTATTCTAGAGTTCGAATTGAACAGCGGGCTTGAACTGTAACTCAAATTACGATTCAGAAAGGTAGCTTTAGCAAACTTCAAATCTATAAATGTAATTAACCTTATATAATTTCTATACATGATATGGATCCTCTCCAGCATGGAAATGCTAATGATTCAGATTCAAGTGTGTTTACGCATCAATTGGGCTACCACTGACTCTTTGATTTGGGCTTGGCCCACTGATCCAGCAAGGCCCAGTAAGTAGAGCATTTTAAGACCAATGTCAATTACCTTTTTTTTTTTTGGGGGGGGGGGGGGGGGGTGGTGGGGAGGGTGGATTTGAATAATATTAACATACATTGAAAAAAGAATTGCCACTCTTTTTAATCTTATATAACCATTGTTTATCATTTTAATAATATTTAATGACGGACAACCCTAACTAAGTTGGCCAAGATGTTAACTTGGTAACCACAAGGTTACATGTTCCACTTCAAGCAAGAGTGATCTATTAACCTTCTTAATTTGAGCCGATCAGCTATAGGCATTGGTTTACGGTTTACCTCCGTGTAGTTCTCTAGGGATTTCCCTCGAACAGGAAAAACATAATTCTCATATTTGAAGGCCAACACCCTCTTAGTCGAGCCTATCGCACATGACCTTTTTAGTGCAACTTATCTCGATTGTCTATCTTTCATCAATGTGGGTTGTTGGACCAACCCCACCAGCTAGGCCCATTGGGTTGAGGTATAACCCCAACATTTGGAAGAGCCATCACCAAAGATCTCCACAACTACATGTACCATCCTTGAACAAGTGAAATCTGTTGGCATCTCTTACCAGTATCTCTCTCTGTACAATTTTGGATATATACTTAGTTGCAGTATGGCAATCCCCACAGACCCTGAGGTTCTTCATTATTTGCAGAGGAGTACCCGGTTTGGTGTTTATTAACCCGAACGCTATGGCTAGCCGTTCACTGTGCTCACAAACCATGTCTATCTTCTCATCTTCATCGACATCATGCAACACAGAGCTCAGGTTCACAACATAACCTTCTTTAGCCATCAGGCCATAAAGGATCCTTAACAGACTATTGACCTCTGTGTATTGTTCAAAGGACCTGTCTCCAGTACCAAAAACATAAACCTTGTTGTGTATCTCTAGCCAGCTACATCCAGGGTCTTTTCTCAGCCCCCTCGCCTTCAGAGATTTTCTTATCGTTCTCACTTTGTCCCACTTTCCCAATTTAGCGTACATATTGGATGCTAGGACATGGTAGCCTGGATCGTCTGAATTCAATTCAGAGAGATGGTGTAAGGCACGCTCTGCAGTTTTGGTGTCTCCACTTGCTCGACAACCACTAAGCAGAGCTCCCCATATACTGGCATCGGGCTGCAATGGCATTGAGAGAATAAATTTCTCTGCTTCAGCTAGGAGCCCAGATCGTGACAGCAGATCTACCATACACGCATAATGTTCAATTCTAGGCTCGATCTGATGGTTTCTCTTCATTTGGTCAAAGCAAGCGCGGCCTTCTTGTACCAGACCTGAATGGCTACATGCATATATTATGGCAACAAATGCAATGTGATCAAGAACAATGCCAGTTTGTTTCATCTCCTCGAAAACTCTCAGAGCTTTCTTTCCTTCGCCATACATTCCATATGCCGTAATTATTGCTGTCCAAGTGACTATGTCTCTTGTCTTCATGCTCTCGAATACCATTACCGAGTTCCTCAAGCTTCCACTTTTCGAGTACATTTCAATCAATGCATTCCCAACAGGGATATCAGTCTCAAAACCAAACCTCAGAACCAAGCCATGCGTTTCTTTGCCCTGTCGTTTGGCAGCAAGCATGGAACACAAAGGTAGGGTACTTAAAATTGTAGCCATATCTGGCATCATCCCTTCAAGTCTCATTCTCCTAACCACTCTAAATCCCATGGAGCAATCCTCGGAATGACTGCATGCTGCAATAATAGTATTCCACGTAACAGTGTCTCGAGAATTCGTGTTATCAAATTGTTTGAGAGAATCCTCCATTTGTCCACATTTGGCATAAATATCCACCAGAGCATTGCCAAGAAGAGTCATGGATTCATATCCTTTCTTAATTATGTCACAATGGAGCTCCCTCGCACAATCTACGTTTACCAATTGAGTACAGACTGATAGAAGAGTCACATAAGTTACAGAATCAGGAAGCACTTCTCTCTTCATCGTTTTAAAAAGCTCTATTGCCTCTTTATGGAATCCATTATCAGCGTAACCACTAATCAAGCAATTCCATGACACCGAATCCATGGATTTCATGCTGCGAAAAGCTTCCCTTGAAGCCATTAAATCACCACATTTTGCATACATGCTAATTATAATGTTGTTACCTGTAATGTCACATTCATATCCATTTCTCACTATGCAGTCATGAATATACCTCCCCAACCTCAAGTCCCCCACGTGACCACACGCATTTAGAACAGAAGTGAGTGTCATCAAATCTGGTTTATATTCACAACCCATTTCTAGAAACATCTTGATTGAGTCATTATAGAAACCCAACTGTGAATACCCACAAATCATGATGTTCCAGGTAACTGTATCTCTATCTGTCATCTCACAGAAGAGCTTCTGACAATCCATCGGCCTCTCGAACTTATAGTACATTGACAGCAACCCATTACTAAGAGTCATATCTTTCTTAGTCCCCATCTTCTCCACCAACCCATGAACCATCTGCCCCTCCCCAACCTTCACCAGGCCCCCACATGCTGGAAGAACACTTGACACAGTAAAAGAATCAGGCACCACACCACACAATCTAGCCTGATGAAAAGCCTCCAATGCTTCCTCCCAATACCCATTGGCACTATACGCCGAAATGAGAGTATTCCACGAAACCACATCTTTACTAGGCAATCCTTCAAACACTTTCCGCGCACGCCCCAAATCATTCATCCTAGCATACATATCAATCAAAGCATTGCCAATATACAAATCCGACTGGAAACCCATTTCCAACACATGATCATGAACACTCTTTCCCATCTCCATATCAGATAAACTACCACAAGAATTAATAACTGAAGGGAAAGTATAATTATCCGGCTTAATTCCTGAATTTCTCATTTGGGTATAAAACTCCAATGCCATAGAGAACAGCCCATTATGGGTCATGCTCCTAATGATGGTATTGCACAAATAAACATTTTCCGTAGGTGAATTTAAGCGAAAAACGGATATCGAAGACAGAGGGTCTTTGAACTCTGAGTACCTGGAAATTAGCTTGCCGGAAAAGAATACAGATTGTTGTTTGCCCGATAGGATTATAAATGCGTGAACTTTGTGTAGATCTCTTCGGTTTGCTGTCATAGACAAAGCTTTGGCGATTAAAGTATATAGAGTCATAGAGAGACTTGGCTTCTTCGTCTTAGACCGTATAGCTTCGCAGTGTTCATGGACGAAGCAGTATGAAAATTTTGAATCTTCGGTTTATATATAGTTTATGAGAAAAATTCATTTCGGCCCCTTCATTTTGATTCAGTATCAAAACATACCCCATATTTTGAGAAATTCATACATTCCCGCTACATTTAGTCTAACTTGCTAATTTAGTCCTTTACTTGAATCCAAAAATTTCCTACTCTTTTCCTTTTTCATTTTTTTTGTTGGGGGAAACCAAACCAACCAATTGCATTAATAATAATATGTTCCAACACATTTTCAAGAAATAAAAATGAAGTAACATACTACTCTTTACTACTCTTTACCGTATGATACAAAAAGTGTTATCACTAAAGGCATACACCACTTATTGTACGCTAATTATATCTATCCGCAATTCCTTAAACCAAGCTTCTCAAAGTCCTACCTTCCTCACTAACAATAAAGAGTAAAAAAAGCTCGCATGCGCAGTTCAGTTGGTCACATCGATAAAATTTGAGAGTAATAACTCAAAATTTAGCGCCAACGTGAGAGCAACTGCTTCTGTATTCAGTTGAATTACCATAATTTATATCATTTCAATGCTCTGTCGAGCCCGGGCGTAGAGACTATTGGAGTTGGAGATTCAATATTTTAGAACAACACTAAAGAGTAAAAATCACATTTCCAATAACTCACATTTTAGCGTCAGCTTGGGAACAACTGCTTCTATATTTAGCTGAATTACCATAATTTATATCATTTTAATGCTCTGTCGAGTCCTGGCTCATAGACTATTGAAATTGGAGATTCAATATTTTGGAACAACACTACAAAGTAAAAATCACATTTCCAATAGCACACTTTAGCATCCATCTACAAAATGTTCAACTCATGTAAAAAATAAAATTTAAAAAAATAAGAAGAATAATTATTGTTTTCGTCTGGACAGAGGAACCATCAGACGAGCAATCAGTGGGCTTAAAGGACACCGTCATCTTCTCCAGATCATAGCCCACCAGAAAATTCATCTGCGCTATGTTTCCAAGAATCGGTTGATTAATCCCATCCTCGGAAAACCCAAAGCAGAGAGAAACATCGGATGTCGGGACGAAAGTGTTTGTGCTTTCCAACGTCAAGTCGGCTCCTCTGAAATGCAAGGTGATACTAGGAATCTTTTCCGGCGGCAGGGATGCGGCGTCGTAACAGAGATTCAGAACGCCGGGCGGGTCTGCGATGGTGGCCGTGTTGATCTCTAGCCGGACCGCAGACTCCACGGCTGCGTAGACGTCGCCGGGGAGATACGTCAGCGTTGTTCCGGAGTCCACGATGATGTTCCCTTCCTTGTTGAAGAACTCGGCATTCGAGGAGTCGTTGAATTTGATTCTGGTTTTCCCGACGCTGATTCCTTCTAGTGTTACGTAATAGAATGTTTTGTCGGGTGTGGCGGCCAGCGGGGTCGAGACCGCCCCGGCGCCGGAAACGACGGCGGAATCGCCGAAATTGATTTTACTGGGGACGCCGGGTTTTGTCATTGGGACTAAACAGTAGGAAAATTTGCCGGCGATTGATGGGCGCAACTGAGAAATCAGCGATAGATTTCCCCCTCCCAGGCCGAGCATCCCAGACCCCTCCCCATAGGTGCCCTGATTTTCAAACCCGCACCCGAACACGATTTCCTGCGCCGCCGTTTTCGACGCCCCTAACGTTAAACTCTCCCTGGCCAGCCACCCGGAGCTGCGGGACTTGTCTCCGTACGCGACGCGGTACTCGCACGTGTTGCTCGTTTCGTCGCAGGTCGTGTCGGCCGAACCGTGACAGTCCGGCGACTGGCACGGCACGTGCCGGAAAGTGGACGATTTCGCCGGGTCGAAAACCGGGGCGGGTTGATCGAAGCAGCTCTTACAGGGCTCGCATTGGATCCAAATCAAGTCGCTGCCGGTGTCGGCGATGACCAGTGCATCCACCGGCGGCGTGCCGATAGCCACCTTCATCAGGTACTCGCCGCTAACATTCGAAGCGACGATCGTTGACGACAACGACGCGCGAGATCCGAGGTTTCTACCTCGGAGCTCCGACCGTTTCATGGAATTCACCAAAAGCTGAGAATGGTTCAGCGACGGATTGTAGAAAGGAGACTCCGGAGATGACTCTCTATGAAAAAGTTCAACACTAAAACCACCGCCCGCTGCCGCCGCCTTTGCGGTCCAACATATTATATTACCTATAAAAATAATGCAGAAAAATGAATGAAATACCAAACAATTCTCCATTATTATTAATATAATAATAATATTATTATTACTGCATTATATATAGATGACAATTATCTATCAAATATTTCATACATATGTTGATAAGTTGATTAAATTTTGTACTCAAAATTTAAAATTTCATAAAAGACGAAATTTCTCGTCTCCAATATTTCACATCCCGACTCAATTGAATAACATATATTTTCTTCTCATTTAGTAGGTGGGTAGGTAAGAACCGGGGTATATTTTTAAAAAATTCAATTGTGGTTTAAAAATTTTTAAAAACTTATTATGAAAATATATCACTATTATATTTAGTATAATTAAATGATGCAAATTCATAGTGTGTTTTATTATTAGGTAAAAATTTAACCAAAAAAATACATGTATTCTATTCTAATTTAATTATATACCTAAAGTGTTTCAAATTGAGTAATGCTAGAAAATTTACTGCATAATATTCACTGTCTAGTTCCTATAGAACATTACTTAATCAGTTCTTTCATATTCAATTATTAAATTTACTTTTTTTGTTTTCTTTTACTTATGGTAGAATCGGTCAATTTTATTATCAATTAATTAATATGAAAATAACACTAAAAAAGTAATTTTTATAAGAGAAAATTATCACTTTTTTGAAAGACAATATATAGAGTTATGAACATACCATGAATAGCATATGGTGTGGATTTTATTCCAAATATAGTTGATGTTCACATTGATAGGAAACATGGAAAAAAAAAGATATATATAATCTTAGAATTATTTTCCACTAATGGTTGCATTATTAATTGGTTTACCATTCATTTTTACTTGATTTTCTAGTCATTGATCATTCTTAATCGACATATCATATATCATATTAGTCAACAGTTTTCACTTAGGAGATGTTTGGTTCATGGAAAATGTTTTCCAAAAGAAAACATTTTCCTTAAAGTAAAGGAAAATGTTGTTTTCTAGTGTTTGGTTCATGGAATTTATTTTTCATTGGAAAATTAATTCCTCAAAATTGAGGAAAACAAAATACTTGGTTGGACCAAGGATTTTGTTTTCCATGGAAGATGGAAAGAAAAAGTGAATAGATTGTCTATTTTACCCTTGCTTTCTTTTTTAATTATATTACTTTTATTAATTTGTAGGGGTATATAGGTTTTTATACTCATTATTCCTTACAATTTCAAATCTAACCAAACAATAGAACTAGTATTCCCCGTAATTCTTTTTCCACCAACCAAACAACGAAATTCATCTTCCTAGTAATTGTTTTTCCATGGAATTCCAATTCCACTTCCCTTAAAATATTTTCCCCGAACCAAACGAACCCTTAGAGTGTTGCTCTTATTTGATCCTAATTATATATATATATATATATATATATATATATATATATATATATATATATATATATATATATATATATATATATATATTGAAAGTTATTTATAGATTAAGTACCCAAAATGATCCGTCGACTATAACTAAATTCACAAATTGGTCCTCGACTATTGATTTCAACCAATTAAGTCCTTAACTTTTCAATTTTGACCCAATTTCGTCATCCTTTGAAATGGCCGTCTACTTGCCGTGATATCCGAGGACAGAGAGGTAAATTCACAGACACTCCCCCCCCCCCCCCCCCACACACACACACACCACCCTTTGTCTCAAGGCTGCCAGTCCAAGAACTCGACTGCCCGCCGCCGAAAATGCGACGACCCAAAGCTCCGGTTGTTAAACGAGTTCGCTAACTCTGGCAAGGACCCTCACGACATGGTTCTCGGGTGGAAAGAAATGGAGGCCAAGATTAAGAAGATGGACCGATACATGAGCTCTACTACTCTGCTTCACAAGCAAATGGAAGAGCTTTTCGGCGCCGAGAATAGCCTCAAGAAGGCAGCGGTGATGCAGGCGCTCCGGCAGATAAAAAAGTCACATTGATCTCTACCAAAAAGCTTCAATGGCAGAAACAACAAATCAGATATCTCAAAGAGAAATCCCTCTGGTATAAAACGTTCAACACTGTGACATTATTACTAGCCCAGTCCATTTTCAAGATCGAGGATCAAGATCGTGTTCGGAATCAATAATTCGACCATCTCCTACCCAAATTTAGGTTGCCTTCTTTACCGATCGTCGGAGAAGGTTCATGACCGGTCCCCGGTAACTTTTTGTCGAAAAATATGTTGGAAGTACGCCGGATCTTCAATGACCTATGATAGCAGGTTATTTACATGTATTTGGGCTTTATTGCATCAAAATGCATTGTTTATGGGTGTAATTGCACCTTTAAAAAGTTAGAGGGTTTAATCCACTTTTTAGCAAAAATTTGAGGATCTATTTGATCATTTCCGACTATGTTACGTTGTAGTATACACTAAGTTCCAAATCATGACTTCCCACATGAGAGAGGTCTCATATGAGCACAAAATGCTTAGCACTGAAAATTTTATTAATCAAACACTACTGAGTTAATATCCAAAATCGTCTTCGACTATAATGGTTTTTCACAATTTTGTCCTAAACGACTTTGGTGACTTAATGTAGTCCCAGAGTTTTGTGTTTTTACTCAATTTCGTCCCAGACTTTTGTGTTTTTGCTCAATTTAATCCCCCATTTGTTATTCCGTCCATTTGTTGTTAAATAAATAGACAATTTAGTAATTTTAATATTGGCATCTCTTTATTCATAGACATGTGAAGTGCGAAATCCCACTTTTTTTACGAATTACTCCCAGAATCACTTCTAAAGCTGCGAATATAAAATTTGATTCGTAGGTCTGAGAGTAACTCTGGGTGTAATTCGTGTAAGAAAGAGACCTTTCTCACTTCATAGGTTGAAAGTAAATAGAGGTCAATATTGATATTATTTAATTGTCCATTTATTTAACACCAATTTGACGGAATAACAAATGGATGACTAAATTGAGCGAAACACAAGAGTCTAGGACTATATTAGGTCACTAAAGTCGTTTAAGACAAAATTTAAAAAAATCACTATAGTCGAAGACAATTTTGGGTATTAACTCAAACACTAATATTGATTGTTTGACAAAGTTAATTGTAATCAAATAAGTTAAAATGGATTGAAAAGCTAAGAATGTTATCATTTTTAGTTTGCTTAGGTCATAGTTCCATACGAATTACGGAGGCCGGTGGCGGCGGATGATAAAGCCGCATCATATACCGGAAGAAATAGCGGGCATCGATCTCGACGATGATCGATAGACGTTAGGGTTTATGCCGGTAAGGGGAATTCGCTCACCGGCTTGACAACGGAGCGCAATACGTTCGTCAATCATGAACAGCATCGGGGACTGAAGCAAACTTTCAAGTAAAATCGGCAATCGCTGCCGTCTCCGCCACACTAGATCAATTTGCCGCTCCTCGGCTGTTCGTAACGCCGCCTCCAGGATGGCATCTGAGGCCAATGCTGCTCGGGCCCCTTTTCGCACCGCGTCTAGAAGTCCTCTAGCTCCACGAATCTTCAGGTTTCAAGCTGAGTTGAGCGCTTGCGTAGAGCCGTGCGGTGATCCTTAGCCTTCAGCATCACGAAAAAATGGCGCAACATATCTGATCGGAAAATGGTGCTCCATCGACTAAAATCCCTAAAACCGGTTTGTCCTCCAATCTTCCTCCATTTTATTAATTTTATTCTTTGTATGTATTGCAATTGTGATTAAACTTGTTTAATTTTATTTATTTGACGCATCTTAGCTCAAATTCGTGTAGCATCTAACATATGATAATCGGTTTGTTTGTGTGTGTGTGTGTATGTGTTTTTTTTTTTTTTTTGCATGAAGAACCTTAGCATGGTGGGGCATACAGTGTTTTGGTGCAGCTGTTAACACACACACAAAAAAATCTTGGAATGCAATTTTGGATAGATTCATCATCATCAATATGACATTATAATACTAATTTTTTAATACAATTTTGGATAGATTGATTATCAGTATGACATGATAATAATTGTATCCAATACAAAATAGAGAGCATTAATTGTGTGAATTTGCACATCCTAATACTTTGAACACCATTAATACATTACTAATAATAGCTGTTCTTATTTGGAAATAAGTATAGGCCAACTATTTGTCTTTGGAGGGAGTTAATAAAATGAAAATTTAAGAAAATTTCAAAATGCATAGAATGGATCAGATTTTACTTACTGTAAAAATTGATTGTGCTTTTCCAAAATTATTATTATTATTATTAATTTTACGCACTTTTGTCAAAAGAATGTGTAATAATTATTTTGATTTTTGACTAATTTATAGTTAAGCTATTTTTGGATCCAGTAGAAGAACTCTATACATTTAACTATTATTTTTGTTTGTTATTAATAATGATGTTATAATTATGATCTTATAAAATTCAAATCATCTATTTATTTAATCAACTGATTATTAATAATAATATAACATAAAAAATATCGATTCAAACATACTCGATAAAAAATTTACCAAATATACCCAATATGGCGATATTAGGTATATATAGTAAAATTTATTAATTTTACTGGGCATTAGCTGGGAACATAAAAAGGTAAATTAGTGAAGTTTCACAAATATATAAGACTCCCTCCCTGGTTGTAATTGGAACCATCTTCTTCTTTACTTCCCCCAATAACGTGTACAATATAGAAAAAACCTCTCAAAAAGCCTGCCTTCCTGAACAAAAAAGGGAAAAATGAAGGGAAGGAAACCAATATCGTTGAGTGCTGAATCCTCTAAACCCATTGAGGATGGAGGTATCCTTACTGGAAAGAATGACGTGGGTGCTATGCGTCCCCTAGATTCTCCAGTGAATGCTCAGGCACCTTCTGAGCACCTGCAATTGGCGGCAGAGGGAAAAAATAAAAGGCCTTGGCTCGAAGAAGGGTTTTACGAGCTTGAGGCAATAAGGAAGAAGCGATTGCAACAGGTTAATTACTTTTATCTTTATTTGGCAAAGATTTCTCCTTATATATGTGTTGTTTGCATTTAACATTTCTGTTACTAATTTGTGTCTTTGGCTATGATTTCTTGTGCTGGTTTGCAAATTTTTGGAACTCTGTAAAATCAAAAGGGCAAAGTCCAGTACTTGATTAAATGGTATGCAAGTCCTTCTGTTCTTTGGGTTGAGGGAATGCAAAAACTGCTGTTATTCTTAGAAAATTTGCAAATTCTAAGGGAGGGAGCCCGATTTTCTTTTTTTTTTTTTCCCCTAAAAATCTTATAAATTGGGTAATTCTAACCGTGCCTCTGATTGATTGATGTTGGATGTGATTTTTGAAAAGGCGAGGTTGGCCGGAGTCTGCGAACACATGGGAGCCTCATGAGAATCTGTCATCATGCCCAGATGTTGTTGCTGCCTTTGAAAGGAGGTTTTACTCTTGATATCCTTTCTTAACCCGTTTTATTTAATTGTCATTATATGATTTATATCAGATTGATCATGTGTCAAAAACTTACTCAAACAAGCTGTATCTTAACCCTAATTTTATTTTAAATTATTTTGAAGGTCTCGTGCACATTCAGGGAAGCGATCCAGGTGTGGGCGTAAGCGCAAGTTAAGTGCTACTCTTACTAGAACAGAGGCGGGGCTGCATCATTCTGCTGCAGCTGCTAAGGTTACTCTTCAAGCCAAAACAAGGAGAAGGCAGCACGCTTCTGCTCCTGCTGCTGAGGGTACTATGGGTATTGAAACAAGGAATATGCCGTGTCATTCCAGTGCAGCTGCCAAGGATAATGTGCCAGCTACAAAGGGAATACCATTGGTGGCTGTGCCCTTTCCATGTCTTGATGACTCAAGCATTGAAAATCATGTGAGCAATGATGTTTCCAGGCCAAAAGTTTCTGGAAGTAGCAGGGCACGGAATGAACATCCTTTAAAAACCAATGGTTCCAGTCTGGAAAAACCCGTTGCAGATTCAGAGGAGACTCAAATACTAGGAGCTTGCTTGCCACCTGGGTTTTCTAAGTCTAACATCGGGAAACCAGTTCGATCTGGAAGTAGCAGGGCGCAGAATGAACATCCTTTAATAACCAAAGGTTCCAGTCTGGAAAAATCCATTGCAGATTCAGAGGGGACTCAAATACTAGGAGCTTGCTTTCCACCTGGGTTTTCTAAGTCTAACATCGGGAAACCAGTTCGATCTGGTCGTTGTGCTAGATCTGCTCCTCGTGCTATAAGGAAGAAGGTAGGCTCTGCTAGGAAGTTTACAGGAAATTCTTCTGCTCATACAAGTGATGATACACAAAATCCGATAAGGACTACTTGTAGTAACATGACTGCATTTGGGAAAGATGGGTTCGAAAACGTCACCATTAATGAGATAATCAGAGCTCTAAGCTATCAAGCTTCTGTAGGCAGAGGTGTCTTAACCTTTGAGGCCAAGAGGTTTGTAACTCATTGTGAACTCTCTCTTATCTTGTGATTAACTGCATGAATTATAGGCTACCAGAGGTTGATTATGATTTTGGATTTATTAACCTTTACAGGGTGTCTAACGCATATATTCGTGCTATTTTCACCCCCACTCCACTAAAGAATTTTTTGTCTGTCTGTGTGGCTATAGGTCTGATGGAAAAGTGGTGAGAGTAACCAATGATTTTCTGAGGGCTAACAACCCCTTCCTGGTAAGAAATTCTCTTCTTTGCTTAGTTGGCATCTTAATATTATAACGCACTACTTACAGAACTCATTTTTCTTTTTGCAGTTGCTAAATTTCTATGACACATACTTTTGCAACACTCCAGCAGCAGGGATGCAGGGATCTGGGAACAGATAATTAGTTTTTGAAGAACATGAATGGGGTAGCCTTGCCTTTCAGGCATTGGTATTGGTATTGGTGTGAGGATAAAGCTTTTCATGGTCCATTCTGAACTGTGTGGCATGTTATCTTAGTGTCCGGTGTTTTTTTTTTTTTTTTTTTTTTTTTTTTTTTTTTTTTAGTTCTCGAGTTACATGGGATTCAGAATTCAGATTCTTATATCTTAGGCACCTTTTTTTTTTTACCTTGTTGTAATGTGAACTTTGCTTCTTCTAATAAAAGTCTGTTCCCCTCATATCAGTCACCACATTTGCTCTATTCATCTGTTTTTTTTTTTTTTTTTTTTTTTTTTTTTTTGGGTGAATCTTAGATTATTCATAACGCTATCTTCATCATTGCAAAATTTCAATTCATTTCCAATATGTAATATAATAATAGTGATGATGATAATATTATTATTAAAAAAAATGAAAAAGTAATAATTATGAAAAAAAAGTTAAAAAAGTGTATACCAAAAATTAGTATTTCGGGTGTGACTACTCTATCTAGCTAACATTTAAAAATAAATACTTGTCTCTCTTCTTTATAAAGTCACATGACCAAATAAAAAAAAGGCCACATAACCAAAATCACATCCAAGATCCAGGACTTTTTCTAGCACAGATTTTCTTCATCTGTATTAGTGACATTCCTCAAGGTATCAGAAGAATTACTGGATGGAGCACTCCGCTTTCCGTAAATAAATAAATTTTGGTGTGGCTATTATTACGGAGATTGCTAGTTCATATCTTTTAAATTGCTGCAATGAGTTGAGTTTAACATTTTGGTAAATAAAAGATAAACGTTATATCATAATTATTATAATTAGATACAGAGTGTCGAAATTTAACCTCAGTCCGTCTTTGATTTTTTAACTGCATCTGTCTGCTTTCCTACAACCTGTTAATACATTGTAGCAATATAGAAAGTTCATGCAGATTAGATTAGATGGAATGCGAAAGTTGGCGGCCCAAAGAACAAAATTAGAGATGAAACATTGTGCGGTTTTTATGATCTTTCGCTATCTTGTAGAACTGCTCCAATGATCATGATGATCCTCTCTGAGAGAGTTGGACCAGAAAGGATTAATCTTCTCCCAAAGGAAAGAATTAATCTGTGGATTGTGATAGTAGCTAGCTATCTGATTTATTTGGATTATGACCGCGCTACTTTGTAAGTTATAAAATAAAGGAATAAGGTTCAAATTGGTCACTGAACGTAACCTGAAAATGCAATTAGGCCACTGAACGAAAAAAAAGTGCAATTAGGGCACTGAACACTCCAAAAACGTGCAATTTGACCACTGAACTCTTCAAACGTATGCAATTTCACCGGATAGCAGGTTACCATCAATTTTAGCAGGTTACCTGCTTACGTGGCAGCTGAGTTGGCATTTTTAATAAATTTTAAATAATTTTTAATAATTAATTTTAATAATAAATTTTATAAAAAATTGAAAAAAAAATAAATAAAAAATAAAATAAAGTCGTTTTTATTTTTTTAAAAAAAATTTAAATAAAAATTTATTATTAAAATTTATTAAAAAATATTTAAAATTTATTAAAAATGACAACTTAGCTGCCACGTAAGCAGATAACCTGCTAAAATTGAGGGTAACCTGCTGTCAGGTGAAATTGCACATTTTTGGAGTGTTCAGTGGCCTAATTGCACTTTTTTTTCGTTCAGTGGCCTAATTGCATTTTCAGGTTACGTTCAGTGGCCAATTTGAACCTTATTCCTAAAATAAATCAACATTTCATACAAAGATTTTTTGGTTAACCTGATAAAAAATAAATCTGAAGTTCATTGAAATGGAAGATCTCTTGACCTTGGAACTGCATGCAGATGGCCGATCTTGAAACTGGATCACATAATATTAAAATGCATGAATGGCACAACTGCATATAAGTGGTAATCCAACAAAAACCGAAAAGCAATATTACAAATTCATAAATCATTTTACTTAGATGGTGACTATACCTGTGACCTTTGACCATAATTCATTTATTCTTTTGATTTTTCTCATATATATTTTTTATATATAAAAAAAGTAATTCATGACTTTATAATTAGACTTCATGTGATGTTCATTGATATATGGTGGAACATTAGGCAAACTTATCGTGCAAATGAGCCATTGAAATTTTGTGAACACTTTTTAATTTTGTGAAAAGCTCCACACTTTTTAACTTATATGAAACATGCATTTTGTGAAAAGCCTTTCAGCATAAGTCCATAGCATATATAATATATTCTGTTGAGTAAAATTTTAAGACTAATATTTGGTTTTGATTTTTTAAGTTACTCCCTAAAGTCCCAAGCTTATAAAATGAAAAAAATAATATTTTATGAAAAAAATAAAAAAGGGAATATAAAAGCTCCAAAAGCTATGGCATAGACCCAGATTTCAAGTCCATCCATTGTTGCAATGGGTTGAATTTAAAATGTTTCTTATTTAAATTGTGATTCAATCAAAATTACTTTAAATATCTATTATCTATATATACATATATATATATATATATATATATATATATATATATATATATATATATATATATATATACTAATAAGAATCAATAAAGTTAGTTTAACAGAAATTAAAAAATGTTTGTCCATTTATTTGATGAAATAAATCGTTCAAATAAACTTTCAAAAATTGATTTTCTTGGATCCTAAAAATAAATAAAATATAAACATACTAATAAAATTAAATTTTTTGGGTAACTAATTTAATATGAACAAAAGTGTTGCTAGGTAACATTATATTTTCTGGTATGATAAATACAATTAAATGAACACATCGAGCTCGCAAACTTATATATTTCATAAAGGGCAACACGTACGTTGTTGCCAAGAACTTTTATTATTGGGTCTGAAATAGCTTCTTACATCAATACATTATTAGAATTAACCTAAAATAAAAAATAACAAATACTATACCTAACTTTTATTTTTTTTGTCGATATAATAAAGATCAGATCTGATGATATATATGAATTTCTTCACTGCGCCTCATGTCTAGCTTTATCAACAGCCAAGCAGATTTTGAGGGCGTGATTGAAATGACGATTGAGGGCATAGAATGGAGTCTCGTCGTCTCTATCATCTTGAAGTTTATTCTTGCAATCTTCGAGCCCGGTAATTGCCGCCGAGATTTTGAAGTTTACTTCATCACTTTTGTCGGCTTTGCTCACCAAATCCACGCATTCCTTCAATCTGCACAACACATTTTATTATTATCATTGAAGATTGAAATGAAATTTCATTAATTATTATTGAAGATTTGAAGATTGAATTGAAATATGTTTCATGAATGAATGAATGAATGAATTAACCTGGCTTGAATGTTTGTGTAGGTCTCAGCGCAGGGGGTATCACTCAGAGTCGTCTCCTTTTTGCTCTCACGGATCACATTTTCACAGTGTTTCGATGCGTCTTTTAGAACCAAAGTCATTGCCTGATCCCAATCTGTGGCGGTTTTCGTCACTTTCTCGCATCGAACTTTGTCAAAGGCGAGGGCGCAGTAAGCATTATTGCCGCCGCCGCCGCCGGCAGCGGCAGGGGCACCGTCGGCGCCTCCGGCAGCGGGAACGGCGCCGCCGGCGCGGGCACCATCAGCATGGAGGACAAGGGTCCTCAAGGTTAGAAACACCACACACAATGCCACAATGCATCCCTTGGAATTCCCCATTGTTTTATGTTATATTTTCGTTGAGGAAACCGAACACTTTTTTTTTTTTGTTATTCTTATTCTGATAATAAGATATAATAAGATATAAGAGAGTAAGAGACAATGAAAAATATGTTGCGATTGATCTGTTTATATATGCATGGAATTTGTTATACAAAGAGAGAAATTTAAGGATGGCCTCAAATAACAACTGGATGATATTATTTGTTAAATATATACCTCTGATTTGCAGCCACTAACACACCTTTAGCAAAAATAGAATTTGTTTCACACTTGGTGACTTGGACAAAGATAAAAAATACTTTCAACTTATGAAATTTTGTAAAAAATACTTCACACCTTTCAACTTATACGGAACATTAGGTAAACCTTTTTACTATTAGCAATTATAATTTTATGAAAATTTCATAATTTTCAACTTATGAAATTTTTTATGAAACTTTTAAGTTAATGCCAGATGAGGTCCTCCGAGTATAGTGGTTTTGACATGTTTAGTCTTAAATTTTTATATTTATCATTTGTGATCCTTTGACTTTTAAATTTATCCATTTGTTGTCCAAGTTAACCACTCATGATCCTTGAACTTTCGAAACACAACCAACCGTGATTCTCTTGGTTAAAATTTAATAGTTAAAAAATCATGAATGATTAACTTGGACCACACCTCAAATAATAACAATTTAGAAGTCAAATGATATTAACTACACTTTTCAACTTATATGGAGCACCAAGTAACCTTTCATAACCCTTCCAAAAAAAAAAAAAAAGGTAACCTTTCATAGCGCAAATTATATCGTGCACCGCGCGTCAAAATGATGCCGTTTTATTTAATAAAAAGAAACGTAATCTGTTTTGCGCTGTTTCGTGCCGTTCCGCAAAAAGTAACTCTGTTATTCAGTTTCATTTTGTATACACTGTAGTTTCATTTCGATATAACTATAGTTTCATTCAATATTATAACACCCAAATAACTACAGCTTCATTACACAATATACACTCAAAAATGTGAAATGTTATTCAGTTTCATTTTATATACACTGCAGTTTCATTTCAATACACCTACAGTTTCATTTCAATTCAATTGCAGTTTCAGTTGATGATATAAAAATAATACGTAAGGCAGTGTCAGTTTAGATACACTGTAGTTTCATTTCAACACAATTATAGTTTCACTTCAATTGAATTACAGTTTCAGTTGATAATATATAAAATAATGCGTGAGGTAGTATTGGTTTAGATACACTGTAGTGTCAGTGGATAATTAATACACAAAATATGCACGGTCCGTAACCGCGCCCTTTCATAGACGCTCTTGTAATTTTAGTGATTCTTTTTTATTTTTTAGTTTTTGGTATGTCCCTACAACTTTTCATTTACACTACACGAATGGACCAATGCAATGGGGGTGAAATTGGCCTGACCAAATCCCAAGCCCACTACTTTGAAAATCGTCAAAAATTCGATCAAAGAAATTAAATATTATGGGATAGTACTCAAAGCTGCAACTATTAACACCTCTATAGACAATGGAGATATTATGGACATAACTAAAAGAACACTTCAATGTACAGTGGGATAATTTCCAATTGATAAAAGATGGTTATAAAATTCAAATTCATACCACGTAATAGGTTTGTGGCAAAAAATGTCTCTTAACTCTCAATTATAATTAGAGCTCATATAGAAATGATTTTTTAAATAATTAAACTTCATTTTAAAATCTATATTAAAAAAATTGATCATACAAATTAACCCTAACGTTTGAATTGATCGATGAAACATTCTATTCAATTGCATTCTGTACTTTTACAAAATCATATTGAATAGGTAGTTACGTACATACAAATTAAACTTTGTGGTGATATGATGAAAATAGATTAGAAAAAGATTAACGATGATGTTTCTTGATATCTAGATGGAATGATCATCATGTTTATTGAATATAAGCAACTACCACTGTTATATCATCGTACTTGCCGCCGATGGCATGCTCGTCGATTCCGGCGATCCTGGTCGCCGCCGAGAATGGAGTATCGATGTTTCTCTTCCTGGAATTCTTAAGCGCGTACCGTGCAATCTTCCTCGCCAACTTCATCGGCTTCTTGTCGGAGCCCGATCTGTTAACCAAATCTTCCAGTTCGGATTCATGAACGTTGTCGAACAATCCATCCGTCGCCATTACGATGATGTCTCCCGGTTTCACCTTCACCTCGAATTTCTCGGCTGCGGTTGGGTCGCCGCGCGATTTACACAGCTGAACCGGACAGTTGAACCGCGAGTGCTGAGCCGGGGAGGTGTAGACGATTTTCCCGCCGCGTAGGACTGCGAAGCCACTGTCGCCGACGTTGACAGCGATCACGCAGTCGTCAACTAACGTCAAGATACACGCCGTGGAAGAGCCTTGTGCTGTGGTGCCCACGTAGGCTTCGTCGAGGGCTGTCATGGGGTCCACGCGGCCGACTGTGTCTCTTTGATGACGGACGGACAAGACGGCGTTAGACATCAGCTCTCTGGAGTACTCTCCGGCGTCGATGCCCCTCTTTGCCCAGCTGCCGACGCCGTCCGCCACGCCGATCGTCTGCGCCTCCGAACAGACAAAGTGCGAGTCTTCTCCGAGAGGCTTCGCCGGATTGTGTTTGGGTATGTAGAACGCACCGGCGACCATTCTGGTTGTGCGTCACCATGACAAGCCCCTGTCAACTAGGGTTTGGAGATAAGCCCTAGTACTAGCTTTTGATGGATAGATCAAACGCTTTCTTTTCATCGTCACCGTCATGATTGGAATTTGAAAACTGAGCAATCCAAGAAACTAGAATAGGAAGCAATAGTACTGCGTGAGAAGTCGGCTAGAGTATGAGATTCCTGATTTTATATATAGGATTACCGCCAACATAGTCCTAATAGGATTGGGATTAACGCATACTATTTAAACAATCACTAATTAAATGCATATTAGATGTAAAAATTCATATTATATAACTAACTATATTTTTAACGCATTAACCTGTTAATTGTTGTTTGGATCACTTTTATATTAAATATAAATAATCGACCCATTTTACAAGTCAACTTTTAATTAACTCGTACTTAATTTGTCCGGTTTGGTAAAATAGTTAGTCTATTAGTTAATTATGACTTATTTGGTCACTATTAGTTTTTTTATTTGGATAAATAATCAATATGAACGTTTGATTAATTAACAATTTGTAACAACTTATTGCTAAAAAATGTTAAAATTCAAAAAGCAGATCAAATTATTTATATTTTTTTTTCATCAATTTTTTTAAAAAGTTATTTTGTATGTAATCAGCTAACAGCTAATTTACCAAACACTGATTTATAATTAGCTAATATTATCAACTAATCAAACTTACTAACCCAATCAACTAACAGTCATTTACCAAACACCCCCAATATACTCGGCCATCTTAATTAAAAAATGTGTCATATTATCTATAAGGTTACAAGTTCAACTACCAATAGGAACTAGGGTCATAACTCATAAGGCATAGATACATCGTCGAATAGTGATTGCGACCGCCTACGAGATTGAGTAATACCACGGTGCATAATCAATTATGCACCGCGCGTCACACATTATACAAATTCTTCAATAATAATAATAATAATAATAATAATCCAGCAGCTAATCTACGCCGGGGTAAAAAAAAAAGTACTCCGTGGTACTCTTCTCAAACGCAGTCAACTTCTGGTTTTGGAACAGCAACAGCGAAGGGCCGATTTAGAAACTGAATCACATAAGATTAAAATGCATGTCACATGAATAAGCGATAATCCAAGAAAAACCGAAAATCAACCTTACAAATTCATTCGTTAATCATTGTACTCAGGTGGTGACAATACCTCTGATATCGAGAAATTCAGCGAAGTTCTTCTTGCTAGTGATTCAATGAGATTCATATTCATCCACCTGTAAAAGATATCAAGAAGTGAAAAAGTAGTTTTCTTAATTTTTCACTTCATTTTAAGATAACTTGCAAATGCAAAAAAACAACTTACAGTTTCTTAGTAGACTTCAAATCCTCCACCTTTAAATATTGAAACAAAGAAAAGCCATACACATGCATTAGTCGATTCACTATATGAAAATTCGATGCAAAATTAATCAACCTAAACTCTAGCCAAAGAAGGAAAATACTTGGTGTACTCCCATTTTATACTCTCAATTTGTACTCCCTCTCACATATTTTTGATGTAGACATTTTTCTGTGGACCCACATGATGAAAATAACCAATCTTAATTTGCCATCTCAAGGAGTACAAATGAGGGAGTATAATTTGGGAGTGCATGTAGTAGAACTCGCCAAAGAATATGTTGGTGTCCCTTGAAAAGGGCAGTGTCAGGGAATAATGGAATATAGATATAATATTTGGAATCTCTATAGATTAAGCAGTCTTAGGGATTTAGGTAGGTAGGCATATGGAAACTTATTTCCTATTCGTAGTCTTCTACCATGTATTTATAGGGCTTTGTATTCTCTTTTCTAGACAGCATATTCAGAAATATTTTCTTTACTTTCGTAACAGGCAGGATACTGTTAAAACTGCGGGTGTAACCAACCTGAACCTTTTGTTCACGAGCAAAGTCGCTATTTTCCGCACCGAAAGTTGTAGGCAACACCTGAAACATCACATAGGATTAGAGGTAGAAATCATATAACGAGCTAAAACTATAGCAGCTCTTTTGCCAGTACCTCAACGCAGTATTGGATATTGTTTCTAATCAGATGACTTAGGATTTCTGGATAGATAAGTCAAAGAACACTCTCCGACACAAAATGTTGATCAGGACATAAAAATTCAAAATTGATTTCATATGCATGCGTATATAAAGTGATATTACACTTTTAAAAAGGATACTTGGATCAACCAAATCAGCAAGGTTGTCTGGCTGCACCAGAAGGATATACTCTTTACCCTGTAGATATGGTAATGTTAGTTTATTATTCTCCACGACATGTTAGATATCTATGCGTTGCAAAAATTATTTTTTTTAAAAATAGCACATATATATTTGAATCAAAATGTAAATCAACACTTCAACAGAGGTGATGAAAGAAATATAATTATGTAAGAAATGACCTGGGACAATAGCACATCAAGTTTCCAACTCTTCTTCAAGGAAATGAAAACCTCATTCAGATTGGAAGGATATCTTTTAATAAAAATTTAAAAAACAAAAAGAGAGATTAGTCAGGATTTAAGAAAATTTAGACAAACTTGATAATTCAACAGAATTCAGAAACATAAACAAAACAGCTAATAGTAATATGGACAATGTGAGCTACTGAGGCTTTCAGGGAGGTCATGAGGTTGGCAGTGAATTGAAGAGCCATAAAATGTGGTTTTACTACTCAAACAAGTTTTATGTTTCTAAACAGGTTCACTGCTCAAGGAAAAAGAAAAACTACATTGACTTTACTTCTCAAAATTGAAAAGCGCAATATGAATCCAATAATGAGAACACATTTTAATGCCTCCTACATTAAAAATTTAGGTCGACCTTTAAACACTGGTTGCAGTGCCAAAAGTATGAACTCGATATCATATATATGCACAGAGAGAGAGAGAGGGGGGACATACAATTCATCCTTGGGACTTGGTTTTTGAGACTGCTGATGCACATCATTACCACTAGTTTCTTCATGATGCTGACTCCAAAACATCATTTTGTTAGCGTTTTTCAAAACAAAAGAAATAGAGAAATAATTAAGAGTAAAGGTAACACTAATTGGAATCTCATTCATAAAATGTGATCAATTACAGACCTGAAGCAAGGAGTAGATGTTTTTATTAGAATGTTTTGCCAAGACCTATATCAAAGAACCATCTATTAGTTTTGACAATATATCAATTCAAACTCAATGTAGAAATACTAAAAATCAGTCACCTTCTGGATACCCTTTTCGGTGTTTACTGTGCTCATCAGAAGCAAAGGGATATTGCAGCCATATTTTGAATTGAGAGACTACAAGTCAATAACAAGCCATAGATTCAGAATTGAGGGAACTCAAAGATTGTGGTCATTTATTAGGTTGCGTTCAAATATCAGATACACAGGAGCAACATGAGAGAGAAAATATAACCTCAATATTATTGATAATTACATCCAAACATGCCATCTCGTCAGATATTTCATTAGCACATCTGCAAATGAAATAGGGCAGTATAAATGCAAAATACATGGAAGATGCAACAAAACATAAATTGATGACAAAAGGCCTTAAACTGTGGATTAACTAAACTTCCCTATAACTACTAACCATGTATCTAATCCGTGCATTATATCAGGAAAGCTGTGGCGTTAATATAGTCCACAGATCATTAAGTCTATCATCATGCACTAAATAATCAGTATCCCTTAAATCTAAAACAAAATGCTTACTTTGTCTTATTGGAGCCCATATCTGTACCCAAATTACCACTGAAGTTCAAAACAACAAGTTTGTCCAATAGCTGTTTAGTTTCAGAAAGATCTGCAGTAATGAGACAACTAATGACTGAGACTATCATTAGTAAAAAAGAAACAAAAAGGATCAAAAAGCAAGAAAGATCTTACCCTCAGAAAGCGGTTCTAAGTTCTCATAAGGGAGAACAGATACTTTGTCCTTGGTAGCAGCCGTCTTGCATTGGTCAAGGAATTGAACATCCTCTCTTCATATGCATATATGATTCAGAAGAAATAAGAAAAATATGTAAGCCAAGAAACAATATGTCAGTGTCACAAGTACAAATTCATATTCAATAAGAAGATTTTACCAACTCTGATAAAATGCTATCAATTGTGAGAACCATATGTGAATGTCTTTATGTCATTTAGTGAGCTCACAATTTACATTTTAGATAAATTCAGTTCAAAGCACAAATTCCCGAGCTTTTTTAAAAAAAGACACGAGACAGTCTAGTAAGTGGGGAAGAAAAAGGATGTTTTATGCATCAAAATGGGTCATCTCTACAAAAAGGAATACAAATATCACCACACCATTGAAAAACATACAAACAACCATAAGACGAAAGATGAATTTCATAGTATATGAATAACTGAACACACGGAAAACAGTTTCCTAGCAATGTATAGAATATATAACATAAATATACTTATATACACCTTTGCAGCACATACAATATATTTTCACCTAATATTCAACATAAAAGTAGTTTAATTACTACTGAAAGACATAATGGTACCGGGTGCCAGCAGCATTGAGCTTCTTCTGTTCATGAAGGAATGTCTTGGTGATCAAATTGCAGAACAAATAGACAAATTGAACCGAGTCATTGGCCGGTATAGGGTATGTGATCTTCTTATAAGTATCCCAGGGTGTGCTGGAGTCAACCAGCCCGACGATGGGAATCTGCAGCCTAGAAGCCTCCTCAATGACGGAAGATTTCCTGTCAGTGTCGAAAATCACGACGCAATCGGGGGCCTGGACGGAAGTAAGGTTGAACTTCTTCTTGCGGCTTCTGAACTTCCGCGGGCTCGAGCTGTTCGTCAAAAAGCCCCCGAGACGCCAGGAGGTGTCGTTGCGGCAGCCGATGGTCTTCGTCATCTGGTCGATGATGTCGTCGAAGAGCGTGTTGGTGTTGACGAAGATGAAGCGCGCCCTGTCGCGGACGAGGCTGCCGATGAAGTCGCAGGCGCTGCGGAGGCAGATTAGGGTTTTGTCGGAGTCGATGACGGTCATAGCGTTGCGGGAACCGGCGGAGTAGATCTTGAAGTGGTTCTGCGCCACGCGCTTCCCCAGGTGCGCGTTTGTGCTCAGAAGTTTCTGGATTAACGCTGAGTGTATCGTCATTGTTGGACCGCTGTGGAGCTCAGAAATGGCCGGAGAATCGGAGGTTTTTATCACTGCCCGGCCGGAACCGGAGATTTGGAGGGTTTATGTTGCTCTGTTACGCCCAATGAAGAATTACATTGGACGCCCTTGTATTCTTAGTGAATTATGAATTAGCACCTATATGCATTTTAAAAAATCAAGAAATAAAAAATTGCGAATAAAAGAACACGTCGCCTGAGAGATTCGAACTCTCGCGGGGAAACCCCATGTACTTAGCAGGCACACGCCTTAACCACTCGGCCAAAGCGACATTGTTGTTAAGATTCGTGCTCTAAATCTACAGAATATTTCTAAACATAGCAGAAAGCTTGCGAAAATATCGTAAAGCAGAAGCCATTTTCGCATAAATTCCATTCTTTTTTCATCTCTCAGATCTACAAATACTGTTCTGGCGGCGAAGAAACAGTGTAAAAAAAATAAAAAATAAAAAATAAAAAAAAAATCAGGCACAGAGAGAGATGGGAGTGGTGATTATCGACGGGTCAACGGTGCGAAACTTCGTGAACGACGAAGAGGCCTTCAACAAGGCCGTAGACGAGAGGTTCTCGTCGCTGGATCTCAACGACGACGGCGTCCTGTCGCGCTCGGAGCTGCGGAATGCGTTCGAGTCGTTCCGTCTCATCGAGACTCACTTCGGCGTCGACGCCGCCACTCCGCCGGATGAGCTGCCCAAGCTCTACGACTCCATATTCGAGAAGTTCGATTTAGATCAGAGCGGCACCATCGACCGTGACGAGTTCAAGAGCGAGATGAAGAAGATCATGCTCGCCATAGCCGATGGATTCGGATCGTCGCCGATCCAGATGGTGCTTGACGATAGCTTTGGCGATAATAACTTCCTCAAACAAGCCGCCGACCGGGAAGCCGCCCAGTTCTCCGCCTGAACATGGAATCGAATCTGAAACGGTAAAATAACTCCGATCCGGCAGTTTATTCGGCCAATTTTCTTCTTGAAATATCGTGTTTAATAAGTTTTGGTTATCCATTACTGTCACTAAGAATTATGGTGCAAGTTTGATTACAGAAACTTGTCATTCGTGGTATGTTTTAGGATCAATATTGTTGGTATGAAATTATTTCAACCAACCATAGTAGTTCAATTATTGTCAATAAGAAAAGACGAGTAGGATATGAACGATGAAATTATGTGTTTGATGATATGGAAAATGTTCATTCATATCTTCAGCAATATTTGATTCATAGAGAGATTACTTGTCATTTTGAATGCATTAGATAAAACTACTCCTAAAAGATTGAATCTCAACACAACAATAGTATTTAGGATGATGTAAATTACACTGATGCATACAAAGAATCTATCCACCACACTATCGTCAAACTTCTCTCAAATACTGTCCACTGAACTATTGAACTTCTCTCAAATACTGTCCACTGAACTATTGAACTTCTCTCAAATACTGTTCACTGAACTATTGAACTAAACCCGAACTGTTTACTAAATTATTGAGCTAAACCCGAACTGTTTTAGATAAAATTGAAAAGGTTAATAGATAAGGCCACACATATACCAAATCTAAAAGATTAGAATTTGATGATGTATTATCAAGTGAGCTAAAAGTATTATTGCTCAATGGACCCATTTGAATATAATAGAAGATAATATAGAGTGGGATTAGATAATGGTATATACTAGAGAGAGGATGTCCTACGTAATAAAATCATGTGGCGGACATGTTGACAAGATTATCACAATATCACCCCATAAATATTAAGAAACAAAAAACACCCACAAATATTAAGAAACAAAAATATGTATAATTATTGAAAGAGTTAATTTATAGGTGTCAATTCACTTTTAGTACTTTTTTTTCAAAACATCTCCTTTTAATCCTAGTATTATTGTAGCATGATAATTTTTTGTCATCTATCAACAAAATAATTTAAGAAAAGATAAATATAATAAATATAACGGATCAACGCACGTTGTATTAAAAATATCAAAAGGTCTTTGTATTTAATGATATTTCAAAAAAAAAAATGATGAATGATAAAAAAAAATAATCATGTCACAATAATACTATGACCAAAAAAAGATATTTTGATATTAAAAAAAAAAAAAAAAAAAAAAAAAAAAAAAAAGGGAAATGTCACTCATAAATCTCAAACAAAAAATAGAAGTAACTCATTATTGGAAATTGGAATGGAATTGTCAAAATATAAAGGGTGTTGGTATTCTATTATACAACTATGTACATTCGAAACATGGGATGTTTTTAAAAGTTAACCGCGGAACGAAAAACGAAATTAAAAAAAAAAAGAAAAAGAAAAAAAAGACAGATACAAAATGACGTCGTTTTGAGCCCGGGCGCATAATGCATTGTGCACCCTGGTGCACGATATAATTTGCCCACGAACAGTCGTTATATCATGGACCGCGGTGCACGTGCACCGCAGTAAAAAACGGTGCCGTTATAGTTAACGGAGTGTGCATTTTTTGTGTATTAATTACCAACTAAAACTACAGTGTATCTAAACTGACAGTGCCTCACGTATTATTTATATATTATCAAGTGAAATGAAACTGTAGTTGTATTGAAATGAAACTGCAATGTATACAAAATGAAACTGAATAACAATTTCACATATTTGAGTGTATATTACCCAGCGAAACTGTAATTATATCAAAATAATACTGTAGTTGTGTTGAAATGAAACTACAGTGTATATAAAATGAAACTGAATAACATCTCACATATTTGAGTGTATATTGTGTAATGAAGTTGTAGTTATATCAAAATGAAACTGTAGTTGTGTTGAACTGAAACTACAGTGTATACAAAATGAAACTGAATAACAGAGTTACTTTTTTTGCGGAACAGCGAAAAACAGGCGTCGTTTCTTTCATTAAACAAAACGACGTCGTTTTGAAGTTATGCACTGCAGTGCACGATATAATTTGTCATAAGGGTGGGATATACTTATTAAAGTTTTTAATAAGTATATATAACATATATATATATATATATATATATATATATATTTTGCCATAGTGCAGCCGTGATATACTTTTTTTTTTTTTGAAAGCATTTAGATATACTTATTAAAATTTTAAAAAAGTTTTAACATGTAAGCTGTAAATCGGCTCAAAATATGACTTACTTTGAAGCCAAATTAAACAAGCTTTAAAAAGAAAAAAAAAAAAAAAAAAAAAAAAAAAAAAAAAAAAAAAACAGACTTTTAAAAAGATTTTACCAGGTTAGGCCAGTTGTAGCCTCATATCACACTTGAAACTAACAAAAAACCTACGTACATGGAAAACTAGCTTGCGTAAATATCGTAAAGCAGAAGCCATTTCTCGCATAAATTCCATTCTTTTTTCATCTCTCAGATCTACAAATACTGTTCTTCTGGCGGCGAAGAATCAGTGAAAAACAAATAAAAAATAAAAATAAAAACAGGTGGGAATGGTGACTATCAACGGGGCATCGTTGCGAAACTTCGTGAACGACGAAGAGGCCTACAACAAGGCCGCAGACGAGAGGTTCACGGCGCTGGACCTCAACGGCGACGGCGTCCTGTCGCGCGCGGAGCTGCGGAAGGAGTTCGAGGCGTTCCGTCCCGTCGGAACTCACTTCGGCGTCGAGGCCGCCCATCCGCCGGAGGAGCTGCCCAAGCTCTACGACAACATATTCGAGAAGTTCGATTTAGATCAGAGTGGCAGCGTGGACCGTGACGAGTTCAAGAGCGAGATGAAGAAGATCTTGCTGGCCATCGCCGATGGACTCGGATCGGCGTCGATCCAGATGGAGAGCGACGGCAATAATAGCTTACTCACACAAGCCGCCCAGTTCTCCGGCTGAACATGGAACCGTAAAATAACTCCGATCCGATCCGGCCGTTTAGTTTATTCGGCCAATAATTTACTAATTTTAATGTCGTGTTTAATAAGTTTTGGTTATCCATTACTGCAACTAATTAGAGTTATGGTGCAAGTTTGATTACAGAAACTTGTCATTCAATTCATTCGTGGTATGTTAGTTTTAGGATCAATATTGTTGGTATGAAATTATTTCAACCAAACATTGTTCAATGAATGTCAGTAAGAAAAAATACCGACTACAATGAGGGATGAAATTATGTGTTTGATAATATGGAAAATGTTCATTAATATCTTCAGAAATCTTTAATTTATTGAGAGATTACTTTGTTATTCACTCATGATGATGATGATGAAGGGTAATATGCGGGGACTCTCTGAACTTATTTTTGTTTTTATGATTAAAAAACTCACGACCATTACTTTTACGATCCATACAAGAATACTTGTTTTTTAAAGGTCATATATTGTAATTCAATTAGTGTAAATTAAAAATTTTGAATATTTGTAACTTTGTAATTTTACCCGATCTAGTGAAAAGTGATTACCACCATTTTTTTTATTTTTAAAACTCAATATTATTTTATTCTCTCTCGTTGTCTGTGTTTTTTCCCTATTGTGTTTTGGTGTTTTGAAGGAATCAAGGAATGGTGGTGGAGGAACTTATATATGAACAACTCCATGGCCAGATTGTTTAATTTTTAGAGTATTATTAATTAACAGTTTCGATTATTATTAGTTAATGCTTTTGAGCTTTACTTAATCCTAAGTAAAAAAAAAAAAAAAGTAACTTTATTATTCATAGGATCAGTAATTCTTCTCCTCGTAAAAGCTTGTGAATTTTTAACCTCAAAGACTCCACACTCCAATCCAAGAAAATATATAGCTTCAAAAACTCCACACTCCAACCCACCCAACAAAACATAGGGCAATGGATTCGGCCGGGTGCACCTTGCAAGGTGGACCGAAGTCCAAAACAATTCTGCCATTTGAAATAACGGTGCCACACCGCTTCCTCAACCAATGATATAATTTTCAGAGTTCTTTAATTGTGCATATAGAGTTATGAAATTGTAAATATAGAGTCCTGTAATTGTGAATATAGTTCAAAAAAGACAACTACAAGAAATGAAACTTAAAAAAAAAAAAAAAAAAAATAGACAACGGCACTGTTTTGAATATGGGTCCACCCTGGTTCATAACATAATTTACTGGAAAAATGTAAATTACAGGACTCAATATCTTATCGATAGGCTTTGACTCCTTTGAGCATAATCCACCTATGCTGAAAGGATCATTACTTCATTATCAATGAATTTTCCACTCACGCAAATTCATATTACCAACAAAAGACGTACCGGTAGCCGAGATTCTGACTGTCGGGCAAATGGATTCTCTGCCTCTCTCACTGCACAATTGTTCAGACACAAACCCTAATTCTTCTTCTTCTCCCTCACACAACTCCCTCCTTTTGGGCCCTGCAAATGGTTTTGCACCCTCCGGCGACAACTTACGCATTAATCTCCGTCTTGAGCTCCATCACCACGCCTCCAACGATGATCGGAATCCCCTCACCGCCGATACCAACCTCCGCCATAGCCAAGCTTCAGAGTTTTCTGCACAATCATTACAGCAAGGCATAAAACTTGACTCTTCAATCCTCGAAATGGATCGGGGGATTTGTTGCCCGATTTGCAAAGACGAGCTTTTCCTCGATTTGGAATTCAAGGTGCTGCCTTGCAAGCACAAGTTCCACGCAAACTGCATCTCGCGGTGGTTAAAGATAAAGAATTCGTGCCCGATTTGTCGATTCCAGATGCCGATCAAGGTGGATGCAGGGGAGTTTGACAGGCTGGGGTCAGTAGAATCTGAAGAATTTGATGATGAAGAAGAAGAAGAAGAAGATGATTATGAGTTTCCAGGCGCTTGGCATCCACCAATTAGGCGAGTTCCGCGGAGCTATAATCTCTCGGCGATGTTCCCAGTGCTCTTCTGAGTGATGATCGATCTTCTTCGCAGCTCAGTCACATGGCAGAAACACGTAATTTGGTGGAGATTGAGTTCAGACATCTTTTATAATACATACAAGAATACTTGTGTTTTTCAAGTTCATATGTTAGTAATTATCTAAGATTAAATTTCAATTTTGGTCCGATAACTATATAGGTCTTGTTAATTGCAGTTCACAACTTTTAAAAGTGTTAATTTAGTACCTTGAATATGTAATTTCTATCAATTTTGGTCACTCATGCCAAATTGTTGGTCAATTTCCGTCAAAAAACTTACAGCACCAATTAGTGTTTAATATGAGGGGCAAAATGGTCTTTCAAATTGTGGTCTGAATTAAGCAATGTCATTTTTTCCGGCGAAATGTGGCCGGTAATTTAGCTGGAGTAACCAAAATTTATAAAAATTACATAGTCAAGATACTAAATTAACACTTTTGAAAGTCGTGGACTGCAATTAACAGAACCACTATAGTCACATGACCAAAATTATAATTTACTTTGTAATTTAATCAGTGTAAATTGAAAGTTTTGAATATTTAGAATGATATATCGTGTCAGGTTCTAGAACTTCATCCAGGTTGAGACAACTTGTAAAATTATACGAATGTTGTTTTTTGTAATCGTTATAAATAAAGTAAACAAAAAGAACAAGAAATGTGAATGTATACTTATATTATTCTCAACAAACTTACATGATTTTCCTCAATAACAGCTCTGTAATTGACGTATCAAACTTGAGCTAATACTTTAAAATAGGTCACATAAAACAGAACTATGTATACATTTATAAAACATATAGCAGTAGTAAAAATTCTCCAATGTAACGCAATATATTTGTAACTTTCTAATTTTACCTGATCTAGTGAAAAGTGAATACCATCACTTTTTAATTTTTAAAACTCGATATTATTTTATTAGAAGTTCCTAATAGTAATAATAATGGAAGCAAATTAAGGAAGGGTTGTCAATTTTTGTATTCGCAAACACAAACGTTGTAACTTCCAATAATATGATAGCAGTATGAACGGACCAACTTTGCCCCGTATGCATCCTTGCACCTTTTGGCGCACTCTTTTGGAGTGCACTCGATTATGATTTGAACTCCATTGGAGCAGTGTGGAATGCCCATCACCAAAACCAACAACAACGCTAGAGGAACAATAACCTTGTTGTTAGACATCATGTTTTCTCTCACTGTTTTTGTTTTTTTTTTTTTTTTTTTTTTTCCTATTGTTTTTTGGTGTTTTGAAGGAATGGTAGTCGAGGAACTTATATATGAACTTAGAGTATTAATTAACAGTTTCGATTATTATTAGTTAATGCTTTTGAGTTTTACTTAATGCTATTGTATTGATTTTAATGTAGTACAATTAATTTTTGTTGCAGTTGCAAGAGATTCTAATTTCGAATGTTACTGTTGTTGCATTTGTAGCCCCTCTAATCAGCATGGTTTAATGAAAATATACTAAGTAAGAGTTCCCTTCCGTTACAACCATGGTTGTAAAATACGGCATAGGCACTAGGCCACGGCCTTTTTGTCCTTAAGTGTCACTTAGTCAGTCGACTCGGTCGAGATATTATTATTTTTTTGCAATTCTAGAGTCATGTATAATAATTTTTTTATTCGTGTGTGTGTGTGTGTGTATATATATATATATATATATATATATATATATATGGAGACGGGACGGGGCGGAGAGGGGTATCCCCGTCTTAAATGGAAAATTACACATATTCTCCATTCCTGTCCTCGTTCCTAAAAAATTTTCTCCATCATCGTTTCTGTTGAGGGTAGAGATCAAAGATCCCAATCGGAGATGAGGCAAATTGTTATCTCTAAATCCTAAGTACGACCTCTTTAAGTCTTTGAGATTGTTCAAAGTAAATAAAAAGAAAAAAAAATTGCAATAAACAAATGGCTCACCACTCACAAATGCTTAATTTTATATTATTCATTATATATTGCAATAAAAAAAAACATATTTACGAAAATTAAATTATTTAATAGTTGTTCATTTTTAATTTTTAATTAATCAACTTACTTTTTTTATACACTAAATTTATCAATTTGACAATATACATTATATATGAGTTGCTTAAGCATGAGTTCGCAATTTCGCATGTTTGAAGTCATGTTTATGTAGCAACTTTTTGAAATAGTTATCTATGAATGATGTTTGATTAAAATTCGATTGGATTATTCTTCGTGTGATGCAAAGATGTAAGTATGCACACACCAAAAAAAAAAAAAAAAAAAAACTTTACACTTAAGACAATATATGAAGTTGTGCAATTTTCCTAATTAGTTTGATTAATGCGAACATTTCACGTGCTAATTTTGCTTTGTAAGGGCCACGTAATAAAGTGTATTTATAATATTTGAAACGTTGACGTTTCAAATGGGAGGTGGGCGAAGTCCACGTACGACTACATTTTGTTGCGTGTACAACTAAGCCTAAGTTGATTATTGTTTAAGCATTATTAATCACCCTATCTTGAGTATCTTCCCACAACCCTCCAAAACAATGCAACCAGTGACGTTCTTTTCTGTATCTCTTCCTTTATATGACTCGTCTAAATTTGAATAAACTTTATTTATGTGTAATAATTTTTTTGGTATATTTAAAGTTTTTATCATCAAATACAATAACTAATTAGCTGATCAAATTGTAAGCACCTCTTTTGATATTTGGTTAAAGATGGATAAGTCCATTTTACTCCATCAAACAATCAGATTTCATGTGTAATAATTCGTAAATTATACACAAGAGAGACGATAAATCGTACTAAGAAAATTTTGTGAGCAACAAACTCAATCAAGATAGCGTTGACAAATCACAACTACAAGAGATCAAGATGCAACACGAGGACTTTCTAAGGGTCATTTAAGTGCATTAGTTTTGGTATGATCACATTCACCACACAAGATAGATAAATTATATTAGAAGACACGCGTGACGGGTCAACCTGAGAAGATGTTAACAGTAATCAAACTCGTAACAATTTAGTATTAAAAGTTATTATAAAAAATGTACATTGATAAATTTGGATAAAAGTTAAATTTGTAATTGTATAATTTTTAAATTAACAAACTAATCTGATCAACTTGGCTGGATTGAGAACGTCACCGTAGCATGAAACTTCCAAGTAATCCCTTGATCTATCCTATCCTCTACACGGAGGCAACAAGACCAAGTCAAATAGGTCGGCGGCCATTTGACCATTGAAGTCCACACCTCAAATCTCATCCATTCCGCCCTATATATAAACACGCCCAAAACAACATTTGATTTATCCGAATCCTAAAGCATCTTCTTCGATTCTAATTGGGGATTTATCATTTGTCTGTTCTTCGATCTCAACTCCGTTTCGATCGAATATCCGCGAAGAAATTAAGGAAAAGACGACAACAATGGAGATCATCGACAGTGATATGCTGGTGAAGGTGGGATTGTTTGTTCTGGTGCAAGTTCTGGTTTATTTCATCCTCTCCAAGTCTTCCAACGTCTTCTCAAAGCTGCCGAGATCCTACAGCTTCAAGCCGGCGCGCTCCGTCAGCATGCGGCGGCTGTTGGCCGTGCTCGGCGACTTGCCGGCCGACGGCGAGCCTTCTCCGACTTCCGCCGACTTGAGATCATCCAAGTCTTTAAAGCGTTTGAACTCCAGATTGCAAGATTGAAAACGAACACAGATGTTAGCAGCTAGCGCAGGTTATTGCCCAAGTATTTTAGTTGTTTGCCGATGAGTTTTGTTGGTCGGTAAATAACTGTTTTGTTGTAGTGATATTATTATTTAGTCTTGGATTTCATATATTCTTTTCTTCTTTGGAATGGGATTGATTGTTTGTGTAATTCTCTTTGTGTATACATATAAATTTAAATTAATTTTCATTAAAAATTAATAAAAATTTGTAATTCAATTAAGCTTAATTGATTGGTGGTGCTAAGTACAATTATAATGTTTTGTTGTTTCTTATGTGTGGTTTGAACTTATTGTACATGTCTTGAATTGATTGATTGTGTATTTGTCATTGTGTATACACATAAGCTTAAATTAGTTTTCTTTTTTTTTTCTTTTTTTTTTTTTAAATTGAGTTAAACTCTTGATGATCTTTGTAAATTTGAGCACGATCGAATATGATCATAGTGCATTGTCTTGTAATATATGTATCTAATAAAACATGTTTAGTTACGTCTCAAAATCTGTATAATAATTTTGAGTATGTAAAAGCAGAAATTTCTAACTTTTGATGTAATTTTTACCTTCTAATAATGAATTACTATAAAGAATAATCGATCAAAAATATTTATCCCCCCAATAGATCAGATAGCACACACATACAAGAAAGGTAGGTAAACAATGTACGTACATACATACATATTCAATTGAAAGAGTGTTGTAAAAAATTAAACTTGTGTCATTTTGACATGATTCTTGGATCTAATGCTAGTTGACTAACAGTCATGCACTAAGTGATCGTCAAAACACTCGCTCATAAGTTTTAAAGTTCAACTCAATATCTCTAATTAAGATAAAAGATACTCTTATTATCTCATCATTTACACCGTATAGGTAAACTATCTAATTAAGATTGAAAACTAACACCGATAATGTTATTAGCAGCGCAGGTTATTACCGAGGTATGGGCACATGAAACTGGAGCTCCCATCATCAAAGCCAACAGCAAAACTAGAGGAACAATAACGCTATTTTCAAAATTTTCACATATTTTCTCTCTTTTTTCTCTTAGTTTTGTAAGAATGGTGTATACATAATACATGGATGAATATTTAAGGATTGGGATTTTTTTACTACTATTATTTTGGGTGGCGAAGAAATCTGCATGCACATACAGGAAAGGTAGATAAACATTGCATTTACATACGGATTCAACAGAAAGAGTGTTGTTTAAAATTGAACTTGTGTCATTTTGACATAATTCTTGGGTAGAGAAAATTACACTTTTGGTCCTATGATTATAGTGGAGGTGGTAATTTCAGTTCGTGACTTTTAAAACTAACAGATTTAGTCCTTTTAGTAAGCTTTTTTTTACACATTGAGTCCTTCCGGCTAATTTGCCGGTAGAAATCCGCCGGAATGTCTATTGGATTTGTTTATTAATTTTTTGGGAGGGGTAAAATCGTCCGTTCAGGTCACAGTGTTATTAACCTCAGAAGAACTCGAATTATTAACGAATGTATGATTCCACAGCTTGAAAAGCCCCAACTGCTGCCGCTGGAGCAGATACAGAGCCCGCAACTCGGACTCGCGCATGCAATTAAACGAAGCGTCGGTTTTAATATTGGCGATTCCAGTTTGGAAGACGTCCTTAATGTCGGTGGCGAAGTAGAGAATGAGAAAGAAGAGGGGAAGGACGATAGCTATGAGGTAGCCGAAGATTTCCCCGGTTCTGATTACCACCCGGTTGATCGGAAAAACTGGATGGGAGGCCTTGACCCTGCCAAACTTCGTGTCAATCAGATCGTCTAGCCTGGGACTCACGATTCCGCCACAAACAAGATTGGAATTCCTCTGATTTTTCGTCCCTTCGCGCAGTGCCAATCCTTATCAATCTACCAGCAACTGGTCACCGGTGCTCGCGTTCTTGATATCCGGGTTCAGGAGGACCGGAAAGTGTGCCATGGAATTCTCACAACCTACGGCGTTGACGTTGTCATCAACGACGTCAAGAAGTTCCTGTCGGAGACCCAATCAGAGATCATCATCCTGGAGATCCGTACCAGCCGGAAGTTAAGCTTGACTGCTCTGTTGACCAGCCGGAAGTTATCGACGTGAACCTGCCAGGTGGGAGCTCTTTTGAACAACCCATCTCCTTTGAGAATCTTCCCCAGTTCTGCACTCATTGTGGGAGTAATCGCCATGTTACAGAGGACTGCCCCCAAAAGTGTAATTTTCGGCTCATTTTATTGTCATATTATGAAGCTTCCGAACTCAGAAGAAGATTCAAATACATGCAAGTTTCAGGCTTTCAGCTACGACATTCACCAAACTACAGTAGCTTCAGAACTCTGAATATTCAGGCTTTCGGATTCAATTCCAGTTTTCCATCGTCTTCGTTGCCGGATTTTCCTCTGCGAGTAGCCGTATAATTCTCTGAAGCAGCTTTGTGACGGCGGGATCGGCGGCCATTAGCGCCACCGACGCGCACAGAGTGTCGCAGCGGGATCGGCGGCGTTTATCCCCTTTTTTCTCAAACAGAAGTGACCATTTTACCCCCGAAAAAAATTAATAAACAAATGAATGTATTTTTCCGGCCAAAATCTACCGGCAAATTGGCCGGAAGGACTAAATCTGTGAAAAAAAGCACACTTAAAGGACTAAATTTGTTAGTTTTAAAAGTCACGAACTGAAATTATCACTCCCTCTATAGTCATAGGACCAAAAGTGTAATTTTCTCTTCTTGGGTATAATGCTAGTCGACTAACCGTCATACACTAGGTGCCTGTTTGGTACACTGTAATTTAGCTGTAATTGAATTGGAATTGTTTGGCTTCAATTACATTGTTTGGTTTGGTTGAAATGACACTACTCCCCTTGTTATTATTACTATTATTATTATTATTATTATTATTATTATTATTATTATTATTATTATTATTATACAAGGGTATTTTAGTCTTTATACCACCTCAGCACTTCTTCTCCTCTTAATTCTAATAATTCTATTTCTCCCTACCAAACAACGTAATTTGAATTCTTTTTTCTAACGAATTACAATTCATTTCCCCCATAATTCATTCCTTCCAACCAAATACATTGTATAATGATCGACAAAACACTTACTCATAAATTTTAAGGTTCAATTCAAAGTTGAAATCGCTAATAAAAGTAGAAGAGACTCTTATCAACTTATTTACACCATATAAGTAAAGTATCTTTACGTTTAAGACAATATCTCCTTGGTAATTTATTTTGTATCTATGGTTGAAATTAGGCAGTTTAATTAATTTCCTAAAGTACAGAAATTCAATTAATTAATGTGGATATATTACACGTCCAAATTTGAATGTAAGAAACATGTAATAATATAGTGAATTTAGGAAAGTCCTCGAATACTTCGTATCCTATAAATTAAAGCAGGGAAAGAATTGATTCATTGAAGAATCCTACTTTGATCGATCTCTCTGAGAAATATATGGCGTTAGTACATCGGTATCTCCTTGAAACCCTCGCCGGCCAACGCTTGACTAGGCGGAGCACCACCAAGATGGTGGCGGCCGGCGCGTTCTACAAACCCAAAGAAAACCTTGCGAGGCCCCTCGGAGAAGACGCGCACTTCGTCTGCGCCAGCGCGCAGACCATCGGCGTCGCTGACGGCGTCGGCGGGTGGTCCCAGATCGGCATTGACGCCGGCGAGTATTCCCGAGCACTCATGTCCAACGCCGAGATTTCCGTCCGTTATCAGGTAGAGAATACCGGCAGCGTAAACCCCACGCGCGCCTTGCACGACGCGTTTTGTAACACGGTCGCGGAAGGCTCCTCGACGGCGTGTGTGTTGACGTTAGTTAACGGCTCCGTCGAGGCCGTTAACGTCGGAGACAGCGGGTTCGTCGTCGTACGCGGCGGCGCGGTGGTGTACAGGTCCCCAGTCCAGCAGCGGGAGTTCAACTTCCCGTATCAACTGGGGACAACGTGCGATAATCCGTCGGTGGCGCAGAGTTTGACGGTCGGGGTGCGCCTCGGGGACGTGATAGTGATGGGAACTGACGGATTGTTCGACAACGTGTACGAGAAGGAGCTGGAGAGGCTGGTGGACGAGGTTTGGTTCGTCGGCGGAGCGCCGCCGCCGCCGGGAAAGTTAGCCAGGAAGATAGCGGCGTACGCTTATGAGAAAGGGAGGAGTGAGGACGCGGATACTCCGTTTGCGGTGGAGGCGTGGAGAGCCGGAAGGTTGCACGTCGGCGGCAAGTACGATGATGTAACTGTGGTTGTCGCATACGTTGAAGAAGCGGATCAACATGAAGGGTTTTCAAGAATCATATCATAAACGTATTTTCTTTATTTTTCTCATAGTAATTAATTGCAGTATACTGTACAGTTATTGGCTTATTATTTGTTTCTTTATTCTTGAACTAGTTATTGTCCATTATTCATAGACTATTAAGTAAAGTTAATTGAATATTCAACGTTAATAAATTGTTTATTAACATTAATTCACTGCATGACTAATTGTAAAGTTATTTATTTGTTTATTCTTCTTTTTTAAAATAATTATTATATTTAATTATTAAGTTTGCATCACCCGTTATTATTTTTTTATAATTTTTAAATTATAAAGTAGGCCAACTTATAGATCTAACATATTGCAATTAAACACTAACAAATAAAGACAACAACTAAGATGGAAAACTCTATCTCATTAAATTATATTAAGAAAGAATTGCTACTTAAAAAGTAAACGAAATATATTAATATTAATTATTATTAACCATAATATATTAATATTATTATTAACCCTAATAATAGTATTATTAGTAGTGTTAATATGATTAATATTTTTAGTAGTCCACTAATCCACTACTTAATTAATGTATACAAATTAATTAAGGTTATGAGTTATATATGGAAATCATATGTAGTGATTCTATATACTAAATTTAAGGTAATTTAATTTTGTTAAGTATTTAAACTAAATTTTTTTATCTACAATGAACAGGAAAATGTCACTTTTGTTTTAATATATATATTGTTAATTTAAGAAGTTTACATACTAGTTCCCTACTTTCATGGGATATTATCATTATTAATTTCTTTTAGAGTTAATTCCACCAGAGGTCCTTTGTTGTTGGTGGTAATTTCAAATTTAGTTTCACATTATTATTTTTATCATTTAACATCCCAGACTATCTTTTTTGGACACTTTTAGTCATTCTCATAACTTTTTCTATTTTTAGTAAGGGCATTTTTGTCTATTTATATTTTTCTTTTGTTATTTTCCGGTTTCAACCGGTTTAATTGGTTTACGACTTTACTAAAAATCGGTTGAAAAATATGGTTACTAAAAATCAGAGGTTACCTAAAGTTCTAAACCAATTAAACCGGCTGAAACAAAAAAAAAAAAAAAAAAAAAAAAAACCAAAAAAAAAAAAACAAAATAAAAATATGAAAAGACAAAAATGTCTTTACGAAAAATAGAAAAAATCATGAGAATGACTAAAAGTGTCCAAAAAATGATAATCTGGAATGCTAAATGGCAAAAATGATAATCTGAGACTAAATTTGAAATTGCCACCAAAGAGAATGGATCTTTAGTGGAATTAACTCTTTCTTTTATTATAATTGTTGGATATCCCGTGTATGGTACCCAGTCGGGTAGGCTATCCAGTCGCGAGCCCCACTTAGATGGTCGGGTAAAGACAGTAATCGATCTGCAAAAGGTGGTGGATCACTAGGCCCAACATATGAAATGCTTTATTTCGGTGACTCTCTAGGATTTTTTTCTTTCTAAGGGGTACTTTCCTTTTTCATATTAGAAAAGAAATCTCATAACTTTGGGAGTAAGGCTTGAATTAGTTTAGGCAGGTTTCCAAAGCTCAAATTTGTAAAGTCTTTTCAATTCTTTCATTCTCCCTACGACTTAAGCATGTATAAATACAATACCCCGGGTCAAAATGTAAAGGATCCAACTCTTTCAATTCATTCTTACATTTTTCTCATTGTTTTACAGTTTTGTTGGTTCGTCGATGGGTTACCACGTAGCCATAAAATCAACAATAATTGTTGAAGTTTTGGATTTCGAGAGTGTTAAGAATAATTACATGTATGGTGTAACATTGATTTGTTTAGAACATTATATACTTCTCCCAAAAGATTGAATCTCTAATTTCAAGGGCCCCCAGATCTCGATTTGACAGAGTAGGTAAGAGGATGTAAATCACAGATATGAAAAAGTGAGTCGACTTTTAAACTAATCATGTGTTTTAAATATAGGTTGCTGATTAACCAACACTATTATATAAATAACGTCGCGAATTACTGCCTTGTGCAGACGAACACTATTGTAAGAATAACATCCCGAATTACCACCATGTTCTTCCCCTAATATCTTGATTAAGGATTCCCCTCCCTTACCTTACCTTCCTCATCTCAACCAGGGCATGTCCTAATAACATCAAATCCTCGTACCTAAATCAGTAGAATTAATTAATTGGCCCCGATTTGAATCCTAGTTTCAACCAAGTGAACCAACCTTTGCCTAAGTCCTAGACTCCTAGTACCTTGACCAAGGGACCGAGGTACTAGCCCTGACCAGGTGGAATTGATTGACATTAAGAAATGATATTACTATATTAGGGGTGAAACAATGTGTAGAAATAATCATTATCATTAAAATGCTAATCGGTTCGAATGAACCGAACCGTGATCGTGACGCAACTCACGAGAACTCGACCGGACACTATATTTATTATTTAGCATTTAAATAAATTTATGGTGCATTAAACTACACGGCTTTGAATCCTCGTGTGCTTCCAGCCTTCCACAGGCCCCGTGGTCCAACCTTGCGCCAAAGCTGCAAAGTGCAAAAGTTTGAGCACTCTCTTCTTTCAGAATTCAGATGCGTGATGCGATTAAACACCTTTTCTCTCTCTAAAATCGTCTCCACAACCCCAAGAAACCATGGAGCCTTGGATTTTCTTCGCTCAGAAGCCAAAAATCTCATCCTTCATGCAGGTTGATCATTCAGTTTTATCTATCTCGATCAATGACTGAAATTCTGAAAATCTGGAATGTTATATTGTTATGTGTGTGATTATTTGATGCTTTTATATGTGGAATTCTAAATTAATTCGTAAAGATTCAATTTTTAAACAAATTTTCAGCTCTTGGCTTGTGATTTGTGAAACTCTACTTTGATTCAAGACCGTGTGTTGGGGAAGTTAGGCATTGTTGAGGGTCTGGGGAAAATGGGTGATAATTCTTTGGATGGTATGATGACGGATCTTGATATGAACCACGACCCGTCCGACCCGGCACCGCCTTCTGATCCAGTTTTAGGATTTGGGTATTTCTTGAATGATTTACAGACTGCTTATAATAGAATAGGGGAGAGAATTGATTCTTTCTTGAATGATTTAGGAACTGCCCATGATAATCTAATAGAGGAGAGAATCAGACAGCTGGAGGCTGTCACGGCTCGAGTTAGGGCACGTAATACTTGGCGTCAGGCTAGAAATTCTGTGGGAGTAAATAACGTGTTAGTTGAAGAGAATGTTTATGTAGAAGGTAGCGGGGATGTGGCGGGAACGAATGTGGTTCCGGGGAGAGGATGCAAAAGGGACAGTAGCCATTTGGTGGCGAAGGCGTTAGCGATGGATTCTGAGGCGGGGAAGGTTGAGAAGGATGATGCTCAGGGATTTTTCGATTGTAATATATGCTTAGAGATGGCCCGGGAGCCTGTTTTGACGTGTTGTGGTCACTTGTATTGTTGGATGTGCTTTTTTCAGTTGCCCTATGTTTATTCCACGATGAAGGAGTGCCCGGTTTGCAAAGGAGAGGTGACGGATGCCACTGTTATTCCTATTTACGGTAATGGAAATTGGAACTACGAGAAAGAATTGGAGTCCGGTTTGAAGATACCTCCGAGGCCAAAAGCACAACGGGTTGAGAGCGTTAGGCAACGGCGTGGGAGCCGGGGCTTGTCTCATATTCGGGTTGCACAAGCGCTCGGGCGAATTAGGGCTACCATGGGATTGGGTGATCAGCATGGTTCTAATGTTAGTTCCATTACGGGTTCTCAAAATCCAAATAGCAATAGCCCGGTGTTTTCCCGTGTGCGTGTGAGAGTGTTATCGGAAAATCCCGCTTCCTTGTCAACACAAGGAGATAATAATAATGGACAGAGAATATTCGAGGACTTTGCACCAAGTACTGGCCCGAGCCAACAAAGAATCAGTGCACCGGTTTTACCGATTGGTGATGATGTGATAAACTCTCCTGCATCAATTCCTTCATCTTCCCGAGCAAGTGACGTTTCTGATTCCGTTACACGATTGGAAAACCTAATAACAGCTACTCTTGCTGAAATTAATATGCACGTTCGCCCTGCTTCTTCGTCTTCTTCTTCTCAAAGAAGACTTAGTTTATTGAGGCTTTCAGACATTGACACTCTAGTTTCTCGTGAAACCAGGAGAAGAAGATTAAATTAATGACTTTCAATCGATAAAAAGGTAAATGCTTTACAGTTCTTGTTCGATCCTTGAATAAAATCTCATTGCTGAAATACATGATCATTTCGATTCATTAAGTTCAGCCGTTAAATCCAGGCAGTTCGAACTCGAGGAAGACAACAGATGGTGTAGGCGTGTAGCTTCAATCCATCCTTCATTCCTCGGAATGGACTTGGCGTTAGTTGCCCAATCAGGTTCCCCGCTCTCTAGTTCCTTGAAATGTATGTTAGCTTGAAGAAAGAAAGATGGTATCTGCAGATTTGCAGCCTCTGTACCTTATTTTCATGCTCTTTATCGATCAACTTTTCGATCGCTGTGCCATGTTTTCCTATGTTTACAACCTCAAATAACATGTGGAAACTATAATTTACAGGGAAAGGTAATACTATGTTGTTGTTTACTGGTCATTTCCCGAAAATATGATCTATGTTTCATTATTGTGGTCTGTTTATATTTTGTTGAAGACAACATTATTGTGATGACAACATTTTGATGGAGTGAAGGGATGAGTGATAAGGATTTATGTAGATATAATCATAAGTGCAATGTGGCATAATCCAAGAGTGAATCCAAGTTCATAATTGCTAATAAAACCCAAACAGATGTGGAGTTCACTTTTGCTTTGTCCTATGAAGCTCCCAGGCATGAAAGCAATCTCCTGTTTATCCATTGTTAAACATTATTGTATTTTGTATGAGTTAATGTTTTGATTAGTCATTGATTTTGGTGTGTTTTTCAAATTTAGTCCTATGTTACGCAGGCCTGTTTGGTAACATAGTTAGTTTATCAGTCAATTTTGACTTATTTGACCATTATTAGCTGTTTGACTTGGTTAAACAATCAATATAAGTGGTTGGTTAATTAGCGTTTTGTAACAACTTATTGCTCCAGAACGTTAAAATTTAAAAAGTTACTACTCAAAGTAGCTTTTTCGATTAGCGTTTTTAGAAAGTCATTTTGCATGTAATCAGCTAACAACTAATAGTTAATTTACCAAATATCTTTCTACAATTAGCTAATGCTATTAACTAGTCAAACCTATTAATCAAATCAGCTAACAGCTATTTACCAAACACGTCTGATTCATGAGATAAATTTTGTTTGAGGAAATAGGAATCTTGTTACATAGGGAATGATATAGGTAAAGTATAAAATATGAATTATATTATCTAAATTATGCAAAATTATTATTTTTATCTGTGCTCTGAGTATGTCCTAACTGTAGGAGGCACCTTTAAGTCCGTATCATACTCAGACTAATCTTCATTCGTACTGGGCCAGTCCAATTAATGGGCAAAGCGCTGGACAGATTGATTTTTCCATAATAGATGAGATTTGAACTCTCGACCTTTCTTAAGGGATGAGAGTGCACGATCACTCATGTCAACCAGACTGATTAAATTAAGGATTATTAAAGTCGAGAATTAAACATAATATTTGATGAATATATAAAATTACATGCATCATGATATGTTTTGTTCACTGCTCAATATAGCATAGTTCAGTGTGAAGAGGGTTGGTATGAGGGCAAAGTTACATAATGATGTGGGGAGCTAAGTGAGCAGAGATCATGCCACTTCTCATCATCAATGATAATTGCTCTTTACAAAAAAGACTATAAGAATGCTTAGGTCCCTAAAATTATTGTTAATTAAAAATATAATTTTATCAAGTATAAAATTAATTAAAATATCGAATTTAATTTGATGTATTAATTTTTGAAGAACTGAACTTAATTCATTAATTTGATCTATTAATATTTTAATTAAAAACTAATTCAAACCAAATTTCGAATACTCTGTTTTTATATTTAATTATTGATTATTGATTTTCCCAGTCAAAAATAATTTAAAGCTAGCAAGTATAGATGTAGAAGGACCAAACTGTATGAAATATGTGACATAGTGATGAACATAAACATCTTCAATGAAGTTCATGAATTCGATTCTTGCAGGCACTATTTCAGTTGAGTTCATTACACATAATTTTCTTAATATAGTTTACTTATTTTGTATTATTTACAAATTATTATACAGAAGCTATGTTCATCTAGTGCTATAGTTTACATCGTTAAACAAAAAAAAGGACCAAATTGTATGGAATATGTGACATAATGATGACCAGAAACATGGTCAATGATTTATACCAATGGGGACCATATTTTGTTTGACCAGACATTATCATTCCTGCTTTAGCATAGAATACAAAATGCAACTATCAAAGAAAATATTGTATAAATATATTGAAATCATTTATATTTTTAAAAATATCAATTTGGTGCAGTATTATAAATTTTATTATATCATTAGTTACAAGAACGAGATCACAAAAATTCAAAAATTGATCCACACACACGTTCTTATAGAAGTATATATTTTGGAAAGTCGGACCATATGTATATATATTTTTTAAAAATAACAATATAAGTGTGGACGAAATATTTTGTGCGTTTGTAAAAATTGGTATCTAACCGTTGATTGATTGCGCCATTCGTGATTTACCTTTCCGGTAGCTGTAAGATGGAGTTCTGTGAATTTATGGTTAATCTGACAAAGTTGAGATTATTAAGTATACATATAGAGCAATAAATATTTTCACAAAAAAATAAAAATAAAAATAGAGCAATAAATATATTTTAAATATGGAGTAACAAATACGATAGAAACCAGAGGCACATATATAATGACTCTAAATTGCTTCAATCCAAAAAGTCATTTCCTCCGTATAGTATCTCTCTCTCTCTCTCTCTCTCTCTCTCTCTCTCTTCTTGTTTTCTTGAAGATCTGTTTTACATGATATGAAATATGGAGCTGGGATTGAGCTTAGGAGATTCATCGTCCAAACCAGAAGACCACCACAATCATCGTCCTCGTACCGCCGCCACTACTAAGAAAGATGGTCTGAATTTCTGCATGGCTTTGGGCATCTTATCGGACATTGAGCAACCTGGAAATACTCGAAAGCCTAAGCAAAACGATTCCGACGATCGTATATCCAACGACGACGACGATCAGATTGCGTCGGAGGAAGAAGAAGAAGAAGAAGGCCATAATTGCAGAGCTTTAGTGCCCAGAGCTTCTCTTCAGCTCGATCTTCTACCTCTCGCTCCTGTTCCTGTTTCTCGCCATCATCCCTTTCCTTGGTCTTCTGGTAATTATTATCATTTTTTTTGGGTTAATTAAGAAGGCCAATAGACAGGTCCTCCTGCTGAGAGTTGAACTTTAAACGGCATAAAAACAAGCAGATTTACCAATTTTTTTTTTCAGATTTTTACATATAGTTATGACGTGTGTAGGGAGTTCAGAGAATGGGTCGTCGGGGAATATGGAGCTGCAGACGACGGCGAGGGGATTCGACGTGAGCAGGTTGCCTAAGACGGCGGCGGCGGCGACGGAGGAGGTGTCGTCTTCGTTCTGTATGGAGTCTGCTAGCATTTTCAAACGCGGTGGGAGTGGTATGCTATCAATCTGTGAAGCCGCCGGAGAGGCGGAGAGGGCGTCTTCTAGAGCCAGCGATGAGGATGAGAATAACGGCGGCGTTAATAATGCTCGGAAAAAGCTCAGGCTTTCCAAACAGCAGTCGGCTTTTCTTGAAGAAAGCTTCAAAGAAAACCACACTCTCAACCCGGTACGTTAAAAATTGATATCTTTTTAGTACAATTTATCTTTTTTGTATGATTCATATATAAGAGAATTTATGTTGATGTGGTAAATATAAGCGTCTATTATGAATGCGTATCAAGTACAAGATTGGACAGGGTTTCTGCCCTTGCTTGGAATTATTAGGCTCCATAAGTGGCGTGAGATCGGAGGTTCCCTAGCCTAATAAGACTATAGTAAGATAGTCAAAAGTCCTCCTTGACCAAATGCCGCACTCTGATCGGTTCAGGTTGGGAAATGATTTGGGTTTAGTGGCTACTCGTACCCGAGATCCTGAGTGTAAAAAGTGTCAAAGATCGAGTATATTCAATTCTCTATCAGATGCAGTATATATTCTTAGATAGTGACTATATATTTTTTCCTCATTTAAAAAATAAATATGTTTTGGCTTTGTAAAAATATATTTGTTGCATACACAAAGTTATATCCAAAACCTTACAAATTTTAATGTTTCATGCATTCATAAATTGACTGATTTTGTTATATTGTCAGAAACAGAAACTTGCACTTGCTAAACAACTAAACCTTCGACCTCGTCAAGTTGAAGTCTGGTTTCAAAACCGAAGAGCCAGGTACGTACTAAAGTGTTCATAAACATGCTTGAAATGAATCACAATTAGAAATAGTCAAAACCCTAGAATTATAGGTTATAAATAACATTTTTTTTAACACTTTTGAGTATTCGATCAAGAATCATAACCTTTCGTTACTATTTTCATAACCAATTGAAAGTGTTCAAAAGAAAAAATTAGACTATACGTGATTTAATTAATAATATATATGTTTGGGAATAATTGTAGGACGAAGTTGAAGCAAACGGAGATTGATTGTGACTACCTAAAGAGATGTTGCGAGACACTAACGGAAGAGAACAAAAGACTTCACAAAGAATTGCAAGAGCTAAGAGCTTTAAAGACTTGTAATCCATTTTACTCGAATCTTCCTGCCACCACTCTTACCATGTGTCCTTCTTGTGAAAAGGTGGCGACCACCACCACCACTACAACCACCGCCACTGTCACCACCGCTATCGCAACAATTTCCGATTCCCATCCCACCGCCACTGCTATGGTTGCCACCGTTACCAATCCCGAGTCTATCCCCAAAGCCATTCCATTTCTTACTAGGAAAGGAAGTTTCCCATTCACCACTAGCCATAATCATGCACCTTCTTGAATATATGGATAAAATATTGATCACAAGGAGGTAAATTCTGAAATAAAGAGCTCAAAATTGAATTCGTGAGCTCAAAAATATATTTTAATCTATAGACTTGCAATTTACCATTACCCTAAAACATCTTCATTAATATTGGAGTTTGTATGTATGTACAGTTGGTTTCATGTTGGATTTGATCATTTGAACGTATGTAATAGGTTAAATTAAATTAGTTTCATTCCTATATCATAGTACAATAGTAATTAAACTATGGCTCCTCTCATAGTGTGATGTATGAGAGAAAACATAAATTCAATTTTGGTGCTATTTATTTATTTTGTGTATGAAGATGCTTATAGATATATAATTTGATTTCGATGACTTTAAATATTTAACTTATGTCATTCTATCAATTTTTGTATAGTATGTCTACATGGTTATGAATATGTTATATGCGTTATATAGAATTTTAATATATAAATACACAGTTGTATTCATGCAATCAGAAAAAATAGACTTGGTGAGTCTTCTATCCAACAATTCCCAAACACTTGCCCGCCATTACGTTTAGATTGCTACCTAGGCAAGGTAGGTACGTAGTATATGTATATAAGCCTATTTAAAAAATGAGGTATAAATTTTGCCTTGGTGTTTGCACAAGTTTACAAGCATTTGGGAGTACGTAGACCAGTTAAGATACATTCTACAATTACTTCCTTTACTCGTTTCTCGGACTGAAGCAGTAAAAAAACTCTTGAATTTGAAGTTCAAACTTATATAAGTCATTGAACACAGAGACTAGATATTTGTTTACTGCGCACACAAAGTTCAAACTTATATAAGTCGTTGAACACAGAGACTAGACATTTGTTTACTGCACACAGAGTCCCCTGCTCTTTAAGAGGTTGCTCCTACACTGCCGTTGTTTACTGCGCACATAGAGTCCCCTGCTCTTTAAGAGATTGCTCCCACACTATCGCTGTGAGACTCGATCCCAAATTATTGTTCCTAAACTTTACTCCTGTGACTAACTGAGCTGACGCGGGCCTAATTTTCATTAATTGATGTATAGACATGGATGTGGTGACATTAATATATGTAGCGCAGTAGCGGTGGTGGGTTTGAGGAATTGTTTTCAAATAATTTCGAGGAAATATCGTATGGTCGGGTGGTCCAAGCTAAGGTGCATGTGCTTAATGCAGGTGCAGTGGATTTTCAATGATATCCTTCAAAAGACTTGGACTCAACTTAGGTATATATTATGATGATGAAGGGCGTGCAGTGCTTGCTTGAGAAAAGGTTTATATGGACTATTTGACTGGAAATATATGCGATCTAAATCAAATCTATATTTAAAACAAAAATCAAAATGCAATGATGTTACTCGTTCGCTACAAGAAATGGCCAAAATTTAAGTCAAGCCCAATGATCAAGTAATCTAGCTTGGTATCTTAGACTATTTAGACTCTGTGATTTTAGTCGAACTTGAAATTTTGTGATTACTCATTTATTCAATCAATTATCTGATTAAATTGATTTAAGTTGCCGCAACCAAGAAGTACTTATCTAATAAATAAGAAGACAAACATAAACAAGTAGAGTTTATTTAGTATACATTCTCAAATACATATTAATTAATGAGAAAAATAATTAAACAATATTGAAATAACTTTTTGGTCTGATTATTGAATTTTAGATGGTTTTTGCAGGTTGTAATGCTTATGTAGAGGAGAGAGGGAGAGCGAAGGGAAGGTATTGAGTTGTTGCAGGAGAACCGTTTTTAGATAAAAAGTAAGTCCCACTCAGAAAAAATAACAGACTTCTCTGACGCGCGTGAAGCACACTAAAAGCGTCAAGTCAGGCGCGTTAACATAGCTTTTTTATTCTCTCTTTGAAAACTGTTTTTTTTTTCCTCCATCTTTTTTTTTTCCTACTTCACATCTTGAAATTTGTGCAAATAAATTGAGGAAGCTCTTAACCATATTCAAAGATTGAATTGAACTGAGATGGGCCATGATGTTCAGATGGCTACTGTTACTTGTAATAATTCTCCAAAGAAAGTCATCCTATTAACGTGTGTATATAGAATGTTAATATTAATTTTTTTCTTTTAGTTCATACTTTCAAAAATTAAATATCAGTCAAAGGGCTGATAAGTTCAAATTAAAAATAAAAAAAAAAAAGTTAATAGGTTACTTCCACTAAGAGCAAAAATTAGAATTTTATGATTATCAAATTAACAACTTGATTAACTTAGATGAAGTTATTTTTTTTTTTTGTTGATCAGACCACGAGATGTCCTGAGCAGACTCTAATTGTAAAAGATACTTTTAAATTTGTACAACTTAAGCTAATCTCTATTTGCACCAAATCGGTCCAATTAAGAGGTAAAATGGTGGAGTTGCTTTCTAATCTCATATCTTTGGTATTATTAATCTCTCTATGAATATATTTGATGCAATATAATACCAAATATTCATTGCCTAACAACTCATTTAATTTTTTATTTTTTTATTTTTTTATTATTATTGTTAGTGCAATCTCAACAATGAGATAGTTCCAACTAGGAAAGAGAGGGAAGAGAAAAGAAAGAAAAAGAATTAGACCAAAAAAATTAAATAGAAAAAATAAACACAGTACTATTACTGCACGTGCTAGTTGGGAGCGGCAAGTGCGACTGTGAGACTGGCGCGCTTGCAAAACCTTTTACATTTTTATTATTAATTGATTGATGGGTTCCAAAAAAAATAAAAATAAAAAAATAATTAGTAAGAGGAAAAACTCTCTAAAAACATCATCCCCAACCGTGAAAAAACTACCCATCAATTTTTATTTCTGAAAAAATCACTTCAAAATTCATTGATGGGGTTGGTCTAAATGAATAGTTATTGCGTAGACTAAGGTTCAAAAACGACGTCATTTCACGTTATTTTTTTACGTGACCCACTGCAACACACATTTTTATAATTTATAATGTACATTATTTTAAAACATAATATACATTATTTTAACTTCTACAGTCAATTATTCTTAACTTATAATATTCAACGACGTCGTTTTGGACCGTGGTGCACACCGCTGTTACAATTATGCTGTGCATCCGTATGCACCATGCATGGTGCATACGGATGCAAAAACGACGTCGTTTTAATAAAACGCGCGTCTCCCCTTAAAAAAAAAAATCAGGTTTGATTCCCAGCAACAACATATGAACTAAAATTTCATAATCGATGAACTATATTTCCATAATCGATGAACTATATTTCCATAATCTAATCTATGAACTAAAAATTCCAGAATGAATGAACTAAAATTCCATAATCTATAAACTAAAATTTCAAAATCGATGAACTACAATTCCATAATCGATGAACTATAATTCCATAATCAATGAACTATAATTCCATAATCTATGAACTAAAATTCCAGAATGAATGAACAATATAATGTTGTTGCTGGGAATCGAACCTGAATTTTTTTTAAAGGAGAGACATGCGTTTTTTAATAAAATGACGTCGTTTTGGCATCCGTATGCACCATGCATGGTGCATACGGATGCACAGCATAACGATTGAATAATTTGCCGGTCTGAATACCCAAGGCCATTGTAGCCTTACAATATTGGGTTGAGTTTATTAAAATACAAAAACTCCACCAGACTAAACAAAAGCTAGACTTAGATGGGCCTTCGTATCAATAGAATAAAAAATACTTAGATGGCCCTTTATCGTATTGTCTCATAATTTGATTTTCCTAACATCCTGGCACTTATACTGTTTTTTAGAACAAACAATAACCTTAAAACGCCTAAAAACAACCAGGCAGCCGGACCGACTTGTTATTGGACCACATTTTTTGGCCATGTAACACAAGCAACTTGATACCGCAAATTACATCATGAATCAGAATCCAAATATGCATATTATGTATTATAATTCATATTATCTACTTGTAGTTAATTTAATATATATTTATAAATAATGTGAAATTACATATAATGTTAACTGTAACATGTACACAATTTGTTAACGGAAGATATGTCAAATTTTAATTGTAAACACATTTTGAATAAGGTCCACACTGTGTATGGTGGACCATAGTCCACAATATAAGAATTGATACAAAGATGCAAGAGAGTTCTACAAATGGTAATATTCTTTTTAAGCACTTAATACATTACTTTTTTTTTTTTTTTTTTTTAAGTATTAGTGACTCTTTACAATATAAGTATATATTCATAGCTACTTTATCAACATATTAAAGAGTCAATACCGCCATCCCACTTGGACTCAAACCGATGACCTCTCATTTGGGAGAACGACTTCATGCCATTAGACTACAAGATCATTCACATACATTACTTCTTATGTTCTCTGTGCCATACAAGATATCATATGTCGGAGTACGCCCTTGATGAGATTATAGAACAACATAACTGACTCAATAATCTAATTAGTAAGGGCAACCACAATAATAGTTTTTGGGGTGATTTTTGAGGAGGCAATGCTTATGTGGAGGAGAGAGAGTAAGTTTGATTTTTTTCATGGTCAAATGGCGGTGCATACAAGAGATCTGTTCAATTTGGATATAATCCACATTGTCGCTTCCAAAGTTTGAACCTTGATCTCTTTTATCAAATATTATCTACTGAACCATTGTCCGTATCCGCATTGATTTGATGTATTGTGATCGATTAATTGTGTGTTACATTAGGAAATATTTTTAAAAGGGGAATTTAAATTTAAATTTAAATTTAAATTATCAATTAATCCGTCGACAAGCCACGTAGGCATACAGAGTCTATAAGGGGTTTTTGGGCCTTGGCATACTCATCTCCCATCTCCTCTCCAATATATACTTTCTGGTTTTAGCTTCCGTTCTTCGCACGCCCACGTTAAATATAACATCTACAAACGCTGCGCGGACCAAAACCTGAGCGAATTCCTCTCATCTTTCCCATTCCATAACACAATTCACGAACATCTATCACTCATAAACCCTAGCCTTTTCTTCCTTCACAAAAGCTTCGACGTGCTTTGATTCGATGTGTAGTATATGTGGTATTGTTTTGTTGAAATAATTATTATTTTGTCGAGAAGATAATTAGATTAGCATTGCCATGTCGAAGCTAACGGAGGCGAAGAAGATCACATGGAGTACGTGGGAAGAGCTGCTGTTGGCGTTTGCTGTGAAGCGGCACGGGCTCAAGGACTGGGACTCCGTGGCCATGGAGCTCCGGACCCGGACCTCCTTGCCCGACCTACTCACAGCTCAGGTTTGCAGAGAGAAATACGGCGACCTCCATCGCCGCTTCATGAACAGCGACGAATTGGCGGTAGATGTGGACGCCGGCGCCGGCGCCATCGATATTCCGTGGCTCGACAAGTTGAGGCAGCTCCGTGTTACGGAGCTCAAACAAGAGGTCCATCGCTACGATCTCTCGATCCAGTAAATCAATCGCCTCTATTTTTTGAATTTTTTAAATTTTATTTTTGCATTTTTGTTACGTGGAAATGATGCTCTTTCGTTATTTTCGAGTTTACGGTTTACGGATCTGATACAGATTTGATCTGTGTTTTGAAAAGGTCGCTGCAGCTGAAAGTGAAGCGGATGGAGGAGGAAAGGGACCACAGTTTAAGGGAGAGCCAAAACGACGCCGTGAAACCAGATCTGAAAGAGGATAGAAAGGAAAAGAGATCGGAAAACGATGAGAAAAACGGTGACGGAGAGACGCCGGAGAAGGCATCCGGAAAATCTGTTTCTGTTACCGAGTCCGACCGTGAGAACCGGTCCTTCAACGAGTCGAATTCGACGGAGAATAGGGGAACAGAAGAGAAGGCTGAACCGTTATCGATCGAAGGAGGAGAGACTAAACCGGATCCGCAAACGAAGCCGGTCCGGGAGGAGGACTCCTGCAACGATAGTTCCGATAGACGCGAGGAGTCGAACCGGAGTCAGGACAGGAAATCCGAAAACGAGTTGGCGGCAGAGACGCGCGACTCCGTAGGCGCGTCGAAGGAGAGCAGCGACGTACAAAGCACCGCGAGTTTGACTAAGAAGCGGCGGAAACGAGCGGACCTCAGCGGCGGAGATGGAGGAAATGTGGCGACCGCGGCGGCGGCGGCGGCATCTCCCGCCACAGCAACAAAACGGGAGAGCGCGGTGAAATCGGAGCCGTTTGTTGGGTTGTTAGATATTATCAGATCGCGTAAACATGCCTCAATGTTCGAACGCCGGCTCGATAGTCAGGTAATGATTCTATGCATCGCACTTCATAATTGGTATTTCGCAAGCAGTAAAAAGTAAACTCTACCCTTTTTGCCGAATTCCTATAATCGATTTTGACCGTTGGGGCCCCACCTAAAAGATCCACAAAAATGGTGTAATTTAACTAAAGTTAGAAACCTTGAACGGTTAGCTAAGGTAACAGTCGGAGGAATTTCACATATAAAGAAAAACCAAATAAGAAAAGAAATATGTATAAACATAACGTTAGTGCCTTTGATACGTCCTATAACGTCTAGGTGGCAATGTGGCATTGAAATGTCATGCACCTCTTTGTCCTTATCCACTGAATTTATATATACTTTTAAAAGGAAAGTGGTACTATTATAACTATAATGTAAATTTATAGAAAAATTATAATTTATGCCTCTATAATTTATCAATTGAGGGATTGGTGGGGAATATATGTATCATTTTAAAAATTGAGGGATTGGAGGGGCAATATATGTACCATTTTAAAAATTGAGGGATTGGAGGGGCAATATATGTACTATTTTAAAAATTGAGGGATAACATTTACATCATTAATAATTCAAAACTGACATTGATAATTGACATATTATAGAGGAGCATAAATTACAATTTTCTCTAAATTTAATATTTAATTATTTATGATATAAAATTATGACTAAATTTAAAATTGTATCAGGTATAGTTTAAAAAGTATATTTGATTATATCAAGTATTGGAAGTCTATCATAGTACACGACGTAACTTAAAAATAATTTTTAACTATATTTGTTACAAAATGACACAATTTTTATAAAAATTGATACAAATTAAAAGTGGTTTTTTAATTTAAAAAAAAAAATCTTTTGTATTTGAACTGAATATGTATGCTATGAAGTCATAGTTGTAGGAAAAAACAAAAAAGTCATAGTTGTAGTACAAGTAAAATTGTCATTTTGAAAAATTGGATTTCTATTTTTTCATGTAACTTAATTAATCTATTTAATTTTAGTATATTAAATATTTAAGATTAATATGATTGAATTTTTAAAATTTAAAAATGGTTTATGTTTAGTGGGAAGAAAATAATAGTCGGTTCATTTGCATGTGGGTCGTGCATGCGAACGTAGTGGGTCAAAGTAATGGGATAATTTACACCAACCATGGCCATCCTGCAGAAAACAGAGAGGTACAAGAGCATAATCCGGAGACACGTGGACTTTGGAACGGTTCAAGCCCGGATTGACGATGGATTCTATTCGGGTTGCCCCATGAGTTTCTACTTGGATCTCTTACTACTGTTCAACAATGCCATCGTCTTCTTCCCCAAGTCATCTCCGGAGTGGAGAGCAGCCCACCAACACCGCGACATTGTCACGAAAGAGCTAAGGAATTACAGATCCTCAACAGCAGCCGAACAGCCATCATCGGCGGCGAAGGTTGAGCCCGAACAACCTAAACTGGAAAGACCAGATTCTTTGCTTGTGAAACAAAAATCTACAGCCCCCATCGTTGTCTGTCGCAAGAGAAGCTCCTTTTCAGCCAAAGCTGCCGGTTCCGGTAACAAGCAAGAAAACGAGAAACCCCCACTCAACCCGAAGACGGCCGCTAACAAGTCTTCTCCGAGCACTCCGCCGGAAGATGATAGCTCAAAGAAGATGAAACCGAACGAGAAGCCCGTTACGGGTGTGAGGAGCATGAGAAGGACGACCAAAGGTCGCCCGGCCAATGCTTCACAGTCCACGAACGTGAAAAAATCCGGCGGGGCGCCGTCAAACAAGCCAGAATCTTCGAAAATGGAAGAAGAAACGAGTAGCATAGACAAGAAACGAGGCGCCGCTGACTTCTTGAAGAGGATAAAGAAGAATTCAGCGACGAAGGATACGTTAGTGGATAATAGTAGCAGTAGTAAAAGGGTGCAGCAAAAGAGAAAGCCGGGAACCGAGGAAAGGAGAGTGCCGCCGCCGGTGAAAGAGGCCAAGGTGGTGGAGAACAGTCCATCGAAGAGGAGCGTTGGGCGGCCGTCAAAGAGAAGTAGGGAGGCCGCGGCTACCCCGCCGGCGGAGAAGCGTGGAAAGGAAACTAATAGTAATTCGAAGGAAGGTTCTTCAAAACGACCACAGAAACGTTCTAGGAGGTAAACCAATCCAACATTATATAGCCTATTGCCGTACTCCATTACCGGTACAGTTAATTCAACTTTAAAGTTAGTTAAGTTTACATTCTAGAGTTAAAAAAGATTAGAGTATCGTCGTGTAACAACTAACTAATTTGGCTCAGAACCTTTCTCTTCTTTCTACACATTTTCACCTTTTCTGACACACAAAATGGCAAAATAGATACCTGCCAGCCGCCATAAATTATGTTTGTGCGCTACGTTGGAATCAAATATCCAAGCGACAAAGACTATAGCTGTCAGCAAAAAAAGAATACTTGACTACGAAACAATCACCTAACTACAACTCCCACATGTGCTTTAAAACTAAAAACATGAATCCCGCTTGTGTCGGCGAAGAAGTTGAAGATGGCACACAACCTACGTTCTTCCTGTCATCCTCAACTACAAACAGTTGTCATGATATACTGTTGTCAATATTCCTGCTCCATCTATTGCTCAAGAGCCTAACGGCCGCCTTCATCTGTTACATATTATGAAAATCAGATTCACGTCAACCTAACCCCGATGGGGAAAACCGATCCTCGTCCCAATCGCCCCGTTGATATGGAGAATTTTTTCGGGAAACAGGACAAGGATGAAGAGAGTTTTCCCGACCCCATCAGCCCCAAATATTTTTAATCATTAACGTTTTAGTGGAATTAGTGCCGAGAGTGCCTAAGTACTGTGTTAATCATTAGCATTTTTGTATTTTAATGAAATATAGTACAAAGAACATTAGCATTTGTGGTTGTGGCTTGTGCATATTGTGTCTACAAGAGCGGAAAAAAATCAGGTCGGGGACGGGAAATGGGGATTGATTTTGGGGACGAGGACAGGGACAACATTGCTATCCCTAGAATCCTAGATTCACCATGGATAAATATTTAAGCATCTCATGTGTCAATGTTGTTAGAGGTTTGAACATAATTATAGATGTTGGACGTTAATTGTACATTGAAGTACAAGTCTTTAGACCTAGAGCATATGGGAGGGGAGAGAAAAAGGGAAAAAGAAATAGTAAAACTGATCTTGAAAAAAAAATAAAAATAAAAATAATGTCAGTTGGGCGCCTTTGTGAAAGCCACGCGAGGCTGTCACAATGCTCCATTTCTTTGGTGGATCCCACTTCTTTGCCATTATCCCAACCCTTGCGGATGAAACCCCTTCCCTCTCTCTCCTACATAATCTCTCCTATTTGGCATTAGCTTTTCTGACATTATCCCTCAAATAACCTTTGATAATGTTGCTCTTAGCACAACTTTTATACTATACTCAGATCTAATACTTATTATCATGTTTGTTTGTTTACTTTTCATATCCTGGATTCAATTCCTTTATAAATCATACAAGGCATTACCCTCCCCCTTGACCACTAACCTTACCTTTGAACAAGAGAACCAAAAAAGAAAAAATAAAATAAAAAGGTCATTATCAATGCATTTTATGAAACTTTAATATATATACACATATAGTATGTATTCTTCATTTTTATTTTAATTAATTAAGTGTTTATTCATTTTGATTCCAATTCCTATTCTAATTTCTAATGTTTGAACCAAATGCCCCCAAAGTTAAATCCCATAATCCAAAAGCACATAAATATATGGGAGACAATTGATGAAAACTAAGATATATTGAGCAGTGTCTTACCGCTTTCATCATCAGAGATCATTTCAAGTGTTGCAATGGCATTCATTAATGATTGTTCATGTTCCTGCATCAGGAAAACGATAGGATCAATGTGAAATCAAGAAGAGACTGGTAACAACCCAAAATAAATAAATATATATATATATATATATTCAGGTGACTTCTAACCTTAATCACTTTCATTGCCTCACCAATCTCCACAGGATCAGGATGTGGAGCATTGAACACCCTCCTCTCCACCTAACCAGATTTACCAGTTGATCAAAACCCGAAAAAGGTGATTCAACTACAAAAAGTACTATTATATATATATATATATCATACTGTCATTGACTACCTCCTCGATTATGGTATCTGTATGGAGTAACCGAATATCAGCTGAGCCATTCTGTGATGGCTTCATATCCTTTCTGGACTGCATTTTAGTCAAACTCCTACCTCTCCCAGTGCGCGGAGAACTATCATGACCAGTGGCTCTATTGACCCAAAGGCCAGGTCCGTCAAGCCATTGTATATCCTCTGGGGGAATCTATCAAGGAAAATAAAATAGCTTCAATATATGAGGAATCGCTTAAAACAAACTATTACACTTGCGCAAAAGAGAATGGATTGATTCACTACTTTTATACACTAACAGTGCATTAAATAACTACTGCTGCTGATTGACTTTTTAAAACCAAAAACTGCAACAAAAGCAAAGGTGGACTGCTTCGCTTTTAAAGCAAACGGCCAGAGCGAAGTGCAGAGCCAAAAATCAAAATAGCTTTGTTGCTTAAAACTTTTGACAAGTATGAGCCAAACAAGTATATGGCTCACAATGAATATTGAAAAGCAGCCTACACAAATTGGCAAACAATAATGGCTTACCAGTAACACTTATTTTATTATATGCCCTTAGAAACTACAGTAATAATTGAAAGAGATTTGTCAAGAAGTACAAGCCAGAAATAACTTAGTTAAAGCACTATACTCCAGGTTTAAATACCTCAGAGAATTTGACCCATTCCATTGTAGCATCTGGAGTCCCCTTGTCATATACAAGACAATGTGTCCCCTGAAAATAGTACATTAAAATAATGTCACTGTTTAACTACATATGCTACTATCTTTTTTTTTTTTGGGTGATGAAGGAAAACCGCAACCACTACCCGGGTGCACTGGGTAAATCCGGCCTTGTGGTCCTAGCAGGCAAGGGACCATAAGGAGGTAAACAAACCTAGGTTGCCCATAGGTGACCAGCTCAAACCAAAAAGGCCAATAGGCCGCTCTTGTTGGAAGTCAAACTTGTAACCTTATGGTTACCAAGTCAACAACCTGACCAACTTGGTTGAGGTTGCCCCTTACATATGCTACTATCTTAGTATGACAGAGTGAGGCACACCTTTTCTGGATCATATTCAGTTATGACAGCCTCATAGAAGTTGTTATCATCAGGCCATCTAGTCCTTACTTTCTTCCCAACCAACGGGTCCAACGATGCACCTTCAACAGGTTCAGAAATCTGATTAACAAACTGACCTCTTCCAGAAGTTCTAGGAGGATATTGCATTTTTGATGCACCAGACATACTCTGGCAATGTGGGGAAAAATATATTATACATCAGGACTCAAGAAAGCACTAATACTAAAGAATAAACCTCATAAATTTGAAGGTTTATACTTTATAATGAAACTTACAGGCTTCTGCTTTTTTCCTTTAGGCCCCATGGTAGGCCCTTGATTTGCCATTGATGAAGACCGCTGGTTTGCTGCAGTAACTGGCTCTGGGTGAAAACTAGGCAATGGTCCAGCAAAGGAATGAGAAGGTAAAGCCGAGGCTATTTTATGTTTTCTCCGTGAAGCTGCAACAGTTGAACTAGGTACCAAATCATGAACAGTTTGGCGATTATTAAGTATGCCCGGTTGATGTCCAGTGGATTGTTTCCACTCCCTAACAAAATAAATTATACAAAAATTAACAGAAAGATGGCATGACCTCGAGATTAAGAAGGCAAGGGAAAGAATCACGAGTAAGGTGAAAAGTTTATGGCTAACCTTATTCTTCGTATATCATCATCAGAATCTACTCTACTAAGAAGTTCCCTGTGTTCTTCACTTGACAATCTCAACTCTTTTCTAAGTTCAGTTATCAAACTTTCCTTCTCCTGAAGAAAACATATCCGAGTCATCATTAAACTTGTTTCAACTTATAAAGAGACGATCCATATTGTCATAAGTCCAATAAAAAGGTACCCAAGTAATTGCATCAGCTTGAGCTTTAAAGGCTTTGAGCACTAAACTATATGCTTCTTTCTCGAGCTGGTGAATCTGAGCCTCCATATCAGTTTCTCCATACATCCTAGGATAAGGTACAGTACTCATGACAGCAGATCTTCCATTACCAGCAATGCGACCACCTCTAGCAATCCTATTTTGACATTGAGGAAGATCATCATCAGTTCCTGCAAAGAAGAGGCCCTTCATGTAGGATAATCTATCTAGTGTATGTATAGGAACATTATGGTTCACCTCATAAGTCATGACACTTCAGCTCAGTTACATTTCATTAGTATTAGTATAGCAAATTCCTAAATATTTTCAATTCTCAAGGCTTCAATGTGATTATTGAATTCATGTACGGATAAAATCATTCAAAGAAGTAAAATATATACAATGAAAATCACTACAAATACTTTTCAGCTAAGGCTGGATAATAGATAATACTCCCTGTATAAAATTACAAACAAAAAGGAATCAATCCTAGCTATTGCATTAACTACTGCTTAATTACACTGATCGAACAATTTTTTTTTCGTTCTGATTGGAGTTCCAAAACAATTAAACCAAATCTCAATCTTCACATCAAAATTCAAAGCTATTTTTAGTTAAGAATGCAGTTAACACTCACCACTGCTGTCGTACCGCTCGAATTCCATAGCCCGTTTGTAGGTGAACGCCGAGAAACCCTGGATAGCAGCACAGCGAAGTGCGAAGTGAAATCAAACGGAAGCTGAAATCGGCACTGCTCTGGAGGGATCAGGACGATAGGTTTGAAAGCGGGAATTAAGGAGGGCGAGGATGAGAGGTAGACGACGACGGGGAAGTATGAATTCGGCTAAGATGAGAGTTCAAAAGCAGTTTTCCTTTATCCATCTTTTTGGTGGGAATCGGAAGATCAGGAGTTTGAAACCTAGTCGTTTTAGGATTTGACACGAGAGATTTTCAGTAACTCAAAACTCCTCTTCCTTCTCACGTCTCTTGTAGGATACGTTGAATTGGAAAATAGTACCTTCTCGGGCAAATTATGCTCTGCATACGGATGCAAAAACGACGTCGTTTTAATAAAATGCGCGTCTTCCCTTAAAAAAAAAAAATCAGATTCAATTCCCAGCAACAACATATGAACTAAAATTCCATAATCGATGAACTATAATTTCATAATCGATGAACTATAATTTCATAATCTAATCTATGAACTAAAAATTTCAGAATGAATGAACTAAAATTTCATAAT